TCGATTCCATTGGTCTGTGTGTCTGTTATTGTTCCAATACCATGCAGTTTTGATGATTATGGCTTTGTAGTATAGTTTGAAGTCTGGGCATGTGATGCCTCCATTCCCTTCTTTTTTTTTTTCAGGAGCGCTTTGGATATTCGGGGTTTTTGGTGATTCCATATGAATTTCATCAATAATTGTTCTATTTCTTTGAAGAATGACATTGAAATTTTTATTGGAATAGCATCGAATCTGTATATTGTTTTTGGTAGGATGGCCATTTTAATAATGCTTATTCTTCCAATCTATGAGCAGGGGATGTCTTTCCATTTCTTTGTGTCTTCTTCTATTTCTTTTAACAGTGTTTTATAGTTTTCTTTGTATAGGTCCTTTATCTATTTTGTTAGATTTATTCCCAAGTATTTGATTTTTTTTGTTTCGATAATAAAAGGGATGGTTTTTTTGATTTCTTCTTCTTCAGATTTATTGTTTGTATATAGGAAGGCTACTGACTTTTGTGTGTTGATTTTGTATCCTGCCACTTTACTGAACTGATTGATGAGTTGAATTAGTTTTTCTGTGGAGTTTTTGGGGTACTCTATGTATATTATCATATCATCTGCAAATAGTGATAGTTTGACTTCTTCTTTTCCTATTTGGATCCCTTGTATGTCTTTCTCTTGTCTTATTGCTCTGGCTAGGACTTGCAGTATTATATTGAAAAGCAGTGGTGAGAGTGGACATCCTTGTCTTGTTCCAGATATTAATGGAAATGCTTTCAGCTTTTCACCACTGAGAATGATACTGGCTGTTGGCTTGTCATATATGGTCTTTATGATGTTGGGGCATTTTCCTTGTATCCCAAGAATTTTAAGGTCTTTTATCATGAATGAGTGTTGCACTTTGTCGAAAGCTTTCTCAGCATCTATTGATATTATCATATGGTTTTTATATTTCTTTTTGTTGATGTGTGGGATAACGTTGATTGATTTTCGGATGTTGAATCATCCTTGTGTCCCTGGAATGAATCCTACTTGGTTGTGGTGAATTACCTTATGGATACATTGTTGGATTCTGATAGCTAAAATTTTATTGAGGATTTTTGCATCAGTGTTCATTAGGGAGATTGGCCTGTAGTTTTCTTTTTTTGTGTTGTCCTTGTTTGGTTTTGGTATTAGTGTAATGTTGGCTTCATAGAACGTGTTTGGTATTATCCCTTCCTTCTCAAATTTTTGGAAGAGTTTGTGAAGGACAGGCACTAATTCATCTCTGAATGTTTGGTAGAATTCATTTGTAAATCCATCAGGTCCTGGGCTTTTGTTTTTGGGGATGTTTTTGATTACCATTTTAATTTCGCTGCTTGTAATTGGTCTGTTTAGGTGTTCTATTTCTTCTTTATCTAGCTTTGGGTGATTGTAGAGTTGTTGGAATTTGTCCATCTCCTCTAGATTCATTTACAAATCTTAAGAAATGTTCTTAAGCTAATGGAGCAGCAGCTTAAAATGTATGCGATGATATGTATTCCATGGATTTATTCAAACTATTAATAGGCCTTTAATGAGGAAAGCAAATACAACCAAATACTAGGAAATGTACTTCCTAGTATTCTGATGTTAATGAAACTATAATGTGATTGAAGCATTTTGTGCAGCATATTGCTACTGAGAATACTATGTCAATTTATTAGACATGGCATCATAACATGTATTCAATTCAGTAATTACAGGACGCATACATCTTGTACCTATAAACTATTGGCCTGAAAATATTCTCTGGCTTCTACATGGAAAACAATTGAGACTTATTATAAATTTTGGTATCACCAAAAGAATTAGTTAATATCCTGAGAAAACAGGTTATGTCTGACCCATCTGACTATTTTTGAACATATTCATCAGTTAAAATCTTGCAGCTGGAAAAAGAGACAATAACCAAAACAAAGAGAAACCCCACCAACTGGGAGAACATTTTTTACACACAACACTAATGATAAATGACTGATCACATGTCGGGGACCAGCCTCCAGCAAATTGTCATGTCAGGGGTTCCTGAAAGGATAAGACAGCCTAGGCGACCTGTAAGGGGCTGAAACTTAAGGGATGAGGGGAAGGGGATGAGGTAGTGAGGAGACACTGACCCTGGATGAGGTGCAAGTATCTTCTGCCAAGAGACTCAGTAGGTTTTTATTCATTTATTTTTAGTAAGTAGAAAAAAAAATACATTGTCATGTGAACATGACAATGAGAACATTTTTACACACAACACTAATGATAAATGACTGATCACAAAAATCTACAAAGAGCTGATGAGACTCAACAAAAACAAAGAAAATAATCCAGTCAAAAAATGGGCAGAAGAGCTAAAAAGAAACTTCTCCAAAGAGGAAATGCAAATGGCTAACAGGCATATAAAAAAATGTTCAAAATCACTTGTAATCAGGGAAATGCAAATCAAAACTACCATGAGATACCATCTTACACCAGTGAGAAGAGCACATATTAAAAAAACTAGCAACAACAAATGTTGGCGAGGTTGTGGAGAAAAAGGAACTCTTCTGCACTGTTGGTGGGAGTGCAAACTGGTCCAACCACCATGGAGAGCTGTGTGGAGATTTCTTGACCTACTAAAACATAGAGCTTCCATATGATCCTGCAATTCCACTCCTAGGTATTTACCCAAAGGACACAGAAACATCAATTCCAAAGAGCACCTGCACCCCTATGTTTATAGCAGCACTATTTGCAATAGCTAAGCTATAGAAACAACCCAAATGCCCAAAAATAGATGACTGGATCAAGAAGATGTGGTACATATACACAAAGGAATATTACATAACAATCAAAAAAGATAAACACATGCAGTTTGCAGCAACATGGATGGAGCTGGAAGGGATCATGCTCAGCGAAATAAGTCAGAAAGGGAAAAAAAAATACCAGATGGTCTCACTCATAGCAGGAATTTAGAAAATCTAAATAAGGGACCAGGAAAAAGACTAATTAATACAAACTAAAAATCAAAATCAACAAGCAAGTATAAACTAGAGATACACTACGATGTGGGGGGGGGGGTCCAGGGAGAGAAAGGATTAGGGTCAAAATCAGGGGGGGTGCAATTGTATGGGGAATATAAACAAAATGAAAATGCATACATTGTGCAAAAATGAAAAATGATGTAAGAATTATATAAAATAAAATATTAAAAAATTACAAATAAATAAATCTTTTAAAAATCTTGCAGCTGGAGATTTAAGTGGATAAAATGTTGATTATAAAACATGTATCACTAATTATAGTGAAAATGTCTTAGAGTTGTGTGATAAATATATTCATTAATCTCCTGAAGCTCTAATTATGTCTTTCCTTTTGCAAAATCCCAGAGTAGAGAAATTCATTCTGTTTCTTACAATGGTTCCTATTGTACAAATTGACTTTGAAAACATAATTAAATTTCCACTCCACAATATTGAGAAGATATTTTAACCACATTTTCATGTAAGGAAACTGTGTTCTAGGAGTAGTTGTATTATTAGACCAAAGTAACAAAACTAGTAACTGACAAAGTTATTATGCCATGCCCTGTAGATATTCCTAGCAGATGATCAACTTGTCTATGTTGAATATTTTAAAAAATGAGATGCCCATTTCTCAGGACAACTGAGCTAGTACCACACATCATATCTCATAATTTCACAGCAATACATAGTGAAAACGTGCGACCATTCTTTTAAAAATTGGAATAAGCTCTTCATCTTCACCTGGGGCCCTGACTGCACCCATGAGTTATCCTGCAGAGGTTTTTCTGGATCTGAACCCTACCTTTCCCCAGTTCTCAGAATCAACTTCTGCACTGTCTCTCTTGTGCATGTCCAAGTATTGGAACTTTTGTGGGATAAAATGGGTTGGTTACATATAAATCAAAAAATTACAAGATGGATGCAAATGATGCATCCATTTCCATGCAAACAGAAATAGGAAATAAAAGAGAATAAATATGTAAAACAAAAATTTAAGGAAAAAGGAAAGTGCTCTGTGTGGATAATAATATGGTATTAAGGAAGAGTATAGGTTAAATCCTCTACACTAAAGGATAAAATTTACATGAGAGTTACATGAGAAAATGAGAGTTTCACCCTTGTCCAGATTCAAAGTTTGGACTGTCATACATTGAAAAATATCCATTTAGCTAAGTTTCACACCACTGAAATTTACCCTGATATCTATGACTTATGGGGGTTGAGCAGACGCTATTGACTCTCCTAGCTCAACTTTTGCCTCCGGTCCCTTCTTTATCCACCATCAGCTAAGAAGCCACTTGAACAGTGTAGGCACAGAGGTAGACAAAGTCTGCTGGACAGTGTTTCCCTTCCCAAAAAAGGAGAGAGCATTTCTTTAGAGGATCTGATGCTATTCATCACTTGTCCTTCATCTCTTTTCTACCTGGAACATTGGTTATATACATCTTTGACTGAGACAGCATAAGGATAAAAATCACACAAAAAGAGTGGGGAGAAGTAAGAGAAGAGAGATTCAACCAGAGGACCAAGTGTTTGGAGGGGATGCTATTCAAGGTATGAAAATTGCAGGAAGTCATGAGGGCTGAGCAATGAGAGTGGAGATAAGGCACACAATTGGAATGACCATTTGATATTAGCTCTGCTAGGCTCTGAGGAATTCACAGACATAGAGGAAAAAAGTGTAAGTCAATGACACCTCTGACAAAATTGTTAGGAGCAAAGAATCATGTTTATTTGAAAATGATCACAATACAGAAATATGCAACAAGGAGTTGGGGGTGGGGGGTTACACTTGGCCTATGAATTCAAAGATGCCTCTGCTTTCCAGAAACATCATGGAGTTTCTCAGATTTCCTCAGCAACAAGCTAGACTTCAAGAAGACAAGGAATTTTCTGCAGGTTCTGAACATCTCTCTTCAGTGGATTCAGTTGTGATCATGATACAGTGAAGAAGAAATGCCTTGGAGTGATCATTTTAGAAGAAAACAGAGACTGTGGTGATGTTCTAGCAGCAAGAAGAATAGCATTTCCTGTAGACAAATGGCCGGTAGCTACAGCAAGAAGAGCCATATCCAGATCCGTAGCCACAGCCATATCCAGAGCCATAGCCACAGCCATATCTGGAACCATAGCCACAGCCATATCTGGAACCATAGCCACAGCCATATCCAGAACCATAGCCACAGCCGTATCCGGAACCGTAGCCACAGCCATAGAGGGAGCCATAGCCACAGCCATATCCAGAACCGTAGCCACAGCCATAGCGGGAGCCATAGCCACAGCCATATCCGGAACCGTAGCCACAGCCATAGAGGGAGCCATAGCCACAGCCATAGCGGGAGCCATAGCCAAGGCCACAGCCATAGCCAAGGCCACAGCCGTAGCTACCATAGTAGTTTCCAAGGTAGTTGCAATACATGGTGTTAGGAGATGAGGTTTCAGTTGACCTGTAGGAAGATCTTTCTGAAGTCGAGTATCAGCTACTCTTGCAGGGCACTTATATACTCCCAGCAATGGGCGGGTCAACCTCACATGGGCTCTGTTCTCATTTTACAACTATTTGCTAAAATGAGTTCATTCTGTGTACAGCATCTTGTCAGGATGTCATATTACTGCCATCCTAGGAATTTTCTAATGGTTGTTTTAAACATAAAGATATATGTTGTAAACACCCAAGCTTATATAACCCTAATTTTACTTTCACAATAGTATTTCATGGTTATGACATTACACATAAGCAAAATAGATTTGGCTTATTTCTATGTGTGTTTACTATTTTGCTCTTGTTCTCATTGACATTATCATAGCACATATCACAATGGTTTCCTTTTTTTCCATTTATAATGTAAATCCTCTAAAGTACTTTTCATGGGTTTTGGACAAGGAATTGAATATTTCAACATGCTACATTTACTCCCTGAAATAATCTCCACTCTGGAGGAAAATTTTCCATCAGTTTATGACATTCTATTCTTTCTTTAGGGCAATTTTTTTTAGGGAAGGCCAGATAAGTAAGTAATATAAAACTTACTATTACTAATTTAACCAAAAATTATGAAGTTTTCTGACTTTCAACTTAGAGTGTGGAAAATGCTTTGGTTCAAGAACTTCTTTGTTTAAGCTCAAGTTTTCAATGTAAGTCCGGTTATAATGTTCCTCATATATGTGTTATGGAGTCACGCTCTCTACTAACATGTGATCAATCAAAATTAGTACTTACAGAATCTGCAATGTTTTATTGCTTTTATTCCCACCTGTCTTCTCCTACAAACAATATTCAAATAACACTACCTATACCACTTTTGCGGGATTCTTCACAATTATGACATTAATAATGGTTTATACTTCCATGGTATTTATTTTGTCCTTACTTTGATTTTGTCATTTTTAAAGATTATTTTTATTGTGGTGCATTGCTTTAGAGCATTGTATATGATTTAGGAATAAGGTGCACACCTTTACAAATGTATGTTACAACATCACACCCACTACCAAAGCCCCAGTTATTTCTCATTCTACACCACTGGATCTCCTACCTCTCAGTTCTACAGTCAGATTTCTAGGGTTTGTTTCATCATATTTTTCTGTTCCTCTGTTTTGCTTTTTATATTCATATATGAGAGAAATATCCTGTATTTTTCTTTTTCTTTCTGACATATTTTGCTTACTTTACATTAAAGTAAGTTTTAACATTTTAATACAAGAAATACATCAGTCCAAGTTAATGCAGATACTTGAAAACTGTTATTATTTGGGAGTGCTTCTGTTTGGATACAAGAAGGGGGGGGAGTAAAAGAAGGTAGTGACTGCCAATATAGAAGGATTTGTGCTTCATTCTTTGTAGTTCCTATATATTTCCGATAGATTCTATTACATTGTTAATCTTTATTGATTCTTACTTAGTAGTTGCAGGAACTAAAGTTTATAAATTTGAGAACACTTCCCATAGTCAAGTAATTAGTAAATGGATCTGACAAAATTTACCATGAAAAGCCTTGTCTCCTACAGAGCCACTGAAACTGGGAGAGGAACGTTCTGAACTTACTGCCTCTCATCTTCCCAATACTTTCAGTGTATGCTCTGTGACAAGTGATGGGCTCCTTCATGAGTTTGCCCTTTAATCTGAGCATGGTATTAAGCTTTCTTGGTAGACAGTGTTGCAGGGGAGAAACTGCAGGAGAAAGCAGTTTGCATTATTTGTTTGCAGCCCTGGGCTGGGGGGTGGATAAGAGATGGCAGTGACAGGATGAGAGGACATTTGTTAAGGCTTTATTCACTGGTGGATGCTGGAGTCTCAGGATCATGTTTTTGGTTTTGGAACCCTCTGTTGAAACTAGCCTTTGAAGATTTCTCATCCAAGAGTATCTGCTGACTTCAAACCCACACAACACACAGATTCCCTCTCTAGCTATCCTGCCCCACAGAGTTGCCACTGCCCCTCAGCTTTCCAGATCTTCACCATTTGCTAATTGCTTGATTACCATCTGCACTCCAGAAGGCATCTCCTATTGGTCCACTGATTATAGAGCCTGGCCAAAGGAGTTATTTTTTTCCTGCTATCCAGGGTGCTGAACTGCAGTTCCAAGTTTTACCTTCTGGAGTATACTTCCACATCCCTAGAGAACCATATAGAATTTTCTCATCCTATAATCACCCGTTTATTATAGCTTTAAAATTGATTTTAATGTTAAGCTTTCCTGTTTAACCTAATGTGAGGTTTCCATCTACTACTGGACCCAGACTGACACACAGAGCTTTAGTTTTACAAGTCATTTTTGTATATGTGGTAGTCGATTCAATGCTAACAGATAAGATGAAGTAGTACATTAAGTGAAAAGGAAAAATGGAAGATAATGCAATAACAAAGACCAAAACGTAGAGAAAAGCAAAGAAAAATTTGTCAAGGTTTAAGACATCACGGATGAGAAGTCTGCTCATTATGGAAACTATGAGAAAAAGATGACATCAAGTTAAAAGTAGGCAGGTGAGTTTCAAAGCATTCACAATAGATTTGCCATGTGATCCAGCAATTCCACACCAAGATAACTACCTGGAGAGTACAAAGACACTAATTTGAAGGGCCAAGCGGACTCCTGTGTTCACTGCAGCACTATTTACATTAGTCACATTATGGAAAGGACCCAAGTGCCCAGGAACACATGAGTGGGTAAAGGTGTGGTGTAGCTCCACAATGGCTTCTACTAAGCTATAAAAGATAATGAAATCTTACCCCATGAACCCATGGATGGAACTGGAGAGGAAGATGTTCTAGAAGGTTCTTTGGAGGAGGGTAGGATAGGTTAAATTTGGGAATATGACTATTAAAATAAGCTTTACAGGGACCTCCCTGGTGGTGCAAGGGGTTAAGACACAACCTATGAAGCTATCCACAGCCAGTGCAGCATGAGTTTGATCCCCCAGCCAAGGAGGAGACCCACGTGGCACAGCAGACCTCTCCTGACTTGCCCACTGCTCCCCTCAGCACTGTATTTCAGTAGTCTTCCTGTTCTTCTCCCCACTCTGTCTCTGGCAAATCCTATCACCCTTCACACCTCTGGCCTGTACCCCAACTCTTGTATGCATCAATAAATAAAATCTTTTAAAAAATAAGCTTGACTGATAACTTTGACTAACTTACCAATTATTAATTACTTCATTGGAGATCTCATTGTTACTCATTGCTGCCTTATGGAGAAATTCCTCAACATTTGATGTTTCCAGATTTTATTCACAAGCCAGTCCTATTAAGTATAGCTGATAGTGCCTCTCACCCTTCCATTTTTACTCCAGAGTGACCTGTCCTTGATTATGATTGGTATGAATGGTCTCCTTACCTCAGCTGACTTGACACATTATCTCCAGGCCATTTAAGTCAGCCACATCTCTTAGTACAAAACTTAAAGAATAGTAGATGTAACCTTTTGTAAATAAACAAAATAAAAGAAAATAGCAATTTGAAAACCATGTATTTATTATCTCCCAGTCTTGGTGGATAAGAAATTGAAGTACACCCTAACTGGCATTTCTGCTCAGGATTCACACTCAATATTGCAATCATATCTTCATCTAGGATGTCTGCAAAAAACTTTGTGAAGTAACTTAGAGCAGCTTGATTTAACAAGTATGACCCAAATATTGCTTGACCATAATTAAGCTAAAAAGTTAAATATTTGAAGTAAAATTAAATTTATCCATCTTGACTTTTACCTACTAAACCTTAAACATGTTATCTCTGGCCACTCCTTCCATATGTGGAAACAAAACTGAGCTATGGAATTTCACGGCATGAGCATCATCATTTTCACATCAGGCTTCAGAAGACACGTTTAATCCTGGCCAATAATTTCCCAGAATAGGAAAAGAACATAAAGGTATATATAAGTGGATTAATTGTACCCCTCTCCATAATTTTATAATTTTCCTCTAAAATAACCCTAGTATAGGTGATCATTATTGGGTATAAACACATGTGGTGGTAGAGAGCCCAAGGAAGTCATTCCTTTTTAATTCCCTTTGTTTTGTTTCTCTATATTTCACATATGAGTAAAATCATCAAGTAATTGTCTTTCCCTTTCTGACTTATTTCACTTAACATATCCCTCCAGTGCATTCATGTTGTCGTAAATAGCAAAATTTCAATTTTTAACCATGTACAAGTATTCTATTGTGTGTGTATATACCACATCTTCTTAACACAGTCATATATTTTTGGGCACTTGGGTTGTTTCCTAAACTTGGCTGATTTAAATAGTGCTGCAGTGAACCTAAGAGTGTGTTTGTCCTTCCCTATTCATTTGTCTGCAACTTTTAGGCTTACTCTTTCTAACCAATGTTTCACCATCAAAATTTCCCAAACCAGATTACTCTGAGACATATTTCTGTGTGTTTATATGTACGTATGTGTTGATGAGTATTCACATAGAAAGAAAGAAACATATCCAGAATCAGGAAACATGAAAGCGTAGGAATGAAGGCTTCACTGAAATAAATTCAGAATACAGGACTCCAGTAGGGGCCCAGTCTTCTCAGACATAAAATTCAAAGTATGTAAACTTCAGAAAGTCATGAGTACTGAGCAATGAGAGTGGAGGCCAGAAACATGGTAGGAATGTCCAGCTGAGATTAAATCTGCCAGGCTCTGAGGAGGTCACAGACATAGAAGAAAATACTGTAAGTCAATGGCCATGTCTGACACAAAAGATACACAAATATTTTAGAAGCAAAGAATCATGTTTATTTGGAAATAATCACAATGTCAAAATATGCAACAAAAAATTTAGAGGGTTTGCACTTGGTCTATAACTTAAATGATGCCTTCTGCTTTCCAGATACATCATGGGGTAACTCAGGTTTTCTCAAAAACAAGGTAGACTTCCAGGAGAACAACGAATTTTCTGCAGGTTCAGATTACTCTTTCTTCAGTGGATTCAGTTGTGATCATGAGAACGCAGAGAAGAAATGCCTTGGAATGATCACTTTGGAAGAAAATATGGACTGTGGTTATGGTTTAGCAGCAAGAAGAATAGCAACTTCTGTAGACAAAAGGCCGGTAACCACAGAAGGAAGAGCCATAGCCACAGCCATAACCAGAGCCATAGCCACAGCCATATCTGGAGCCGTAGCCACAGCCATATCCGGAACCATAGCCACAGCCATATCCGGAACCGTATCCACAGCCATAGCGGGAGCCGTAGCCACAGCCATATCCAGAACCGTAGCCACAGCCATAGAGGGAGCCATAGCCACAGCCATATCCGGAACCATAGCCACAGCCATAGCGGGAGCCATAGCCAAGGCCACAGCCATAGCCAAGGCCACAGCCGTAGCTACCATAGTAGTTTCCAAGGTAGTTGCAGTACATGGTGTTAGGAGGTGAGGTTTCAGTTGACCTGTAGGAAGATCTTTCTGAAGTCGAGTATCAGCTACTCTTGCAGGGCACTTTTATACTCCAGGAATGGGCGGGTCAACCTCACATGGTCTCTGTTCTCATTTTACAACTATTTGCTAAAATGAGTTCATTCTGTGTACAGCATCTTGTCAGGATGTCATATTACTGCCATCCTAGGAATTCTCTAATGGTTATTTCAAACATAAAGAGATATGTTGCAAACACCCAAGCTTATATAACCCTAATTTTACTTCCATAATTGTATTTCATGGCTATGATATAACACATAAACAAAATATGTTTGGCTTGTGTATGCATGTTTTTACTATTCTGTGCTTTGTCTTAGAAAGCAACTATCAATATTTAACATAAAGTTTGATGATTGCTATTAATTTTCTCCCCTCCTTCTTATCATTACCACTATCATTATCACATCATGTTGGCCTACTTTTTACCATTAATAAGGAAATTCTCCCAAGTACTTAGCACAGATTTTGGACAGGGAATCGTACATTTCAACATTAGTCTCTGAATATTCGCCTTCTCTCTGAAGAAAAGCTTTTCTATCTCACCCTCTCCATTAGTTTATAAATTCTATTCTTTCTTTAGGACAAATATTTTTAATGAACACCAGATAAGTAAGTTACTAATACTTACTTTTAATAATTTAAAAAATGATAAAATTTTCTAAGTTTGAACTTCAAGTGAGGAAAATTGTTTGGTTTAAGAACTTCTTTGTTCAAAATCAAGATTTCAATGCAAGTTCAGTTATAAGGTTGCTCCTTTATGTGCTATGTAGTCATGGCCTCCATTAATATGTGATCAATCAATAATTAGTACTTGGAGAATCTACAGTATCTAATTGATTTTATTCTCACCTGTCTTCTCACACAAAAAATAATGGGATATTATTTACCCATACTACCTTTGCTGGATACTTTGCAATCATAACGTTAATAATATTGAACTATTTCAAGATATTATTTTCCCCTACTTTTATTTTTGTAATTTCTAAAAACTTTTTTTTTAGAGGTAGTGCATTGGTTTACAAAACTATATATGATTTATGGATACTCGTGAACACCTCTACTTATTTATTACCATACCCCGCCCACCACCATAACCCCAATAATTGTCCACTATCCACTATTGGAGCTCGTCCCTCCTAGCACCAGGTTCCCCACCTTGTCCTCTGGTCAACTCAGTTCTACATTCACATTTAGTGTTTCTTTTGTTTTGTTATCATCTGTTCCTCTCCTTTGTTTTTTATATTCCACATCCAAGTGAAACATCAAAATTTGTCCTTTTCCTTCTGACTTAATTTGCTTATTTTACATTAAAGTATTAATGTTTTAATAAAAGAAATGCATCAATAAAAGTAAATATAGATATTTGGAAACTGTTACTATGTGAAAATGCTTATGTTTGGATACAAGAATGGGGAGAAAGGAAAAGAAGGTAGTGACTCCTGATACAGCAGAACCTGTGCTTCACTCTTTGTAGTTCCTACATACTTCCTATAGAGTCCAACAAATTTTTAATTCACATATTATTTGATGCCATAAGCAGTCACAGAAACTGAAGTTCATAAATTTGAGATCATTTCCTGTGGTCAAATAAGTAGTAAATGGTTCTGACAACTTTGCCATGAAACACTATTTCCCCTACAGAGCCTCTGAATATGGAAGAGCGGACTGTTGTGAAATTTCTGCCTCATCTTTCCAATACTTTCAGGGTATGTTCTGCAATGAGGGATAGGCTCCTTCATGAACTGACCCTTTAATGTGAGCATGACATTAAGCTCTCTCAGTAGAGAGTGTCTCAGGGGAGAAATTGCAGAGGAAGACAGTTCTGCATTATTTGTTTTGAGCCCTCTTATAAGGCATGTGATACCAGTGAGAATGAAAGGATATTTAGTGAGATTATATTTAGTAGTGGACATCAGTGTTGTTGGAGGCTCAGAACCATGTTTTTGCTTATTTGGCCCCTTCTATGCTGAAACTAGCAATTGAAGATTTCTCATCCATGAGTGTCTGTAGCATTCAAACCCACACACACATTCTCTAGCCTACCCTACCCACAGAGTTGGGTGTGCCTCTGAGCTTCCCAGACCTTCTACCACTTGCTAACTGCTTTATTAATATCTGCACTCCTGAGGGTGTCTCCTGCAGGTCCACTGAATAGAGAACACCTCTGGCCTGGCCTGATGAGGAACTTTTTCTGCTATCCAGGGTGCTGAACTATGCCTTCCAAGTTGCCTTTCTTGAGTATTCTTCCACATCCCAAGAGAAAACAGAATTTTCTCACCCTATAATCACCCTTTAATTATAGTTTAAAATTAATGTTATTATTAAGCTTTCCTGTTTAATGTATTGTGAGGTTTCTGTCTACTGACTGGACCCAGAATGACACATGGAGCTTTCATTTTAAGAGTACTTTTGTATACATGGTTGTTGAATGAATGGTAGAAGATAAGATTTACTAGCATGTAAAGTGTAAAGCAAAGAAGGAGGATAAAGTAATTACAAGGACCAAAACTCTGAGAAAGCAAAGAAAGATTTTTCAATGATAAAGATATGGTGTACCAGAAGTTTTTTCATCATGGAAACTATGGGAATAGATGACATCAAGCTAGAAATAGGCAAGTCAGTTTCAAAACATTAACAATAGATTTGCCATATGATCCAGCAATTCAAATCCCAGGTAACTACCTGAAGGGTAAAGACACTAATAAGAAGGGACATATGCATTCCTATGTTCGTTGCAGCGCTACTTACAATAGTGACACTATGGAAATGACCCAAGTTATTCGAGTGGCTAAAGGTGTGGTATATCTACACAATGGCTTACTACTTAGCTATAAAAGATGATGAAATCTTGCCATATGCAACACATGGATGAACTTGAGAGGATGGTACTCTATAAGGCTCTGTTTATAATTTTAAGTTTGCTAATATGACTACTAAAATAAGTTGAACTAATAACGTCCACTAAATTGCCCACTGCAAATTACTTCACAGAAGTTCTCATTGTAACTCAATGCTTCCATATATATATGAGAACTTCTGTGAAGTAATATATATATATATATATATATATATACACACATACACACACACACTACTCCACTACACTGTTTGAAGTTCTTATGAATCCAAGTAGCCATGAAAATAAATTAATTTTTTCCTCTATTGAGGTAACATTGATTTTCAACACTGCATAAGGTTTAGGCATACAGAATCACACCTCAACAACAGCATATGCCACACCGCACCTATCACCAAAGACTGGGCTACCATCCACCACTATCCAATAAAACTCCTTTACTTGTTAAACCAGGTATATTACCCTTCTCCTCTGGTAACCAGCATTCTGTTGACAAAATTTAAGTTTTACTCTTATTATTTTTGTTTTGTTAATTTAACTTCCAAAATTGAGTGAAATCATAGAGCAATTCATTTTTCTGAGTTATTTCACATACCATAATCCACTAGGATTCATTCTTGTTCCACTGTGTATACATATCATAGTATCTGTATCCAATCATCTGTCAATGGGCAGTTGTTCCTTATCTTAGCTATTGTGAATAATAGTGAAATTAACACAGGGTTGCATACATCTTCTTGAATTTTTATATTATTCAGATAAATATCCAGAAGTAAAATTGATGGATAATATGCAGTCCTATTTTCAATTTTGAAGAACATCCATATTCATCCATAGTGGCCATACCAAATAGTAATCCTTCTGATAGTGTATATTTACCACAAGTACCACTCCCCAATAATTTATTATCAGTTCTAAGTGGTCATTTATTCAATGAGAAGAGCACACAAATACCCTTCAGAATAACACTGCTTAGTCATTTTTTTTAATCACATGTTTCTTTCACATTTTACAATCTCTTTGGTCTCAAAAAAATTGCAAAAGATGTAACTTTAGTGCAGTAATTTCTGTTTGAGGGACAAACAGATTAGGAATTTTACTAAAATTACAGATCTGCTGTATTAACAAAGTCAAGTGTTTGTTCTTTATGTTAAGCTACATAAAGTCTCCTTTTATAATCATTGGGTGTTTGAATACATGTTATAACAGGGAGTTGATATTTCTTCTGGGAACCCAATTCATTGTGAAATTATGCTGTATAAAGGCCAACATGCCTCATAATCTCTCATTATTCCCAATGTTACTGTGGGTACAAGGAATTTTTTTCTCATGATTGGCGCAGCAGTTGAGCACTGGGCTGCAAAGCTGCCCGCAGCCTCTGCAGCACCAGTTCAATCCCTGGCCACCAGCGAGGGTCCCACATGGTGCCCCACACCTCTCCTGCCGTGCCCGCTATTCCCCTCAGCAGTGTATTTTGTTGGTCTGCCTGTTCCCCGCTCTGGCTCTGGTGAATTCTCTCACCCTCCCGTGCTTCTGACTAAACCCAGTGCTTATATAAATAAATCTTTAAAATTAAAAAAAAAAGATCTTTTTCATAAGCCAGTCCCATATATGGTTGGGATCTCATAGTGTCTCTCACCCTTGAACATTTACTCCAAAGTGATCTGTCCTTGATATGGATTGGTGTGAATGATCTCACCTCTGCTGACATATGTCTATGTATAATTGTGTGTTGATGAGTGTTCATATAGAAAGAAAGATAGACCCAGAGTCAAACACTAGACTAAAATCAAACACTAGACTAAAATCAATTCAGAACACAGGACTCCACCAATGGGGACCATTATTGAGGCATGCTATTGATGGCAAATATACTTCAGTACATCATGGGTGCTTAGCAATGAGAGTAGAGAACAGACACACAGTTGGAATGACCAGCTGAGATAAGCTCTGCCAAGCTCTAAGGAGGTCACAGACATAGAAGACAAAGAGGTAAGTCATAGGCACGTCTGATACAAAACACACACAAACTTGTTAGGAGCAAAGAATCATGTTTATTTGGAAATGATCACAATATAGAAAGATGCAACAAGGAGTCAGAGAGTTGGTACTTAAATTATGCCTTCTGCTTTCCAGGCACATCATGGAGTAACTCAGCTTCCCTCAGCATCAAGCTGGACTGCCAAGAGGACAATGGATACTCTACAGGCTCTGAATACTCTTTCTTGAGTAGGTTCAGTTATGATGAAGAAACAGTAAAGAGAAATGCCTTGGGGTGATCATTTTAGAAGAAAATCTGTACCAAGGTGATGTTTTAGCAGCAAGAAGAATAGCAACTCCTGTAAACAATTGGTCGGTAGCTATAGCAGGAAGATCCATATCCAGAACCATAGCCACAGCCATATCCGGAACCATAGCCACAGCCATATCTGGAACCGTAGCCACAGCCATATCCGGAACCATAACCACAGCCATATCTGGAACCATAGCCACAGCCATATCCAGAACCATAACCACAGCCATATCCGGAACCGTAGCCACAGCCATAGAGGGAGCCATAGCCACAGCCATATCCGGAACCATAGCCACAGCCATAGCGGGAGCCATAGCCAAGGCCACAGCCATAGCCAAGGCCACAGCCGTAGCTACCATAGTAGTTTCCAAGGTAGTTGCAGTACATGGTGTTAGAAGGTGAGGTTTCAGTTGACCTGTAGGAAGATCTTTCTGAAGTTGAGTATCAGCTACTCTTGCAGGACACTTTTATACTCCAGGAATGGGCAGGTCAACCTCACATGGGCTCTGTTCTCACTTTACAACTATTTGTTAAAATGAGCTCATTCTGTGTACAGAATATTACATTACTTACTGCCATGCTAGGAATTTTCTAATAGTTATTTCAAACAAAATATATATGTGCTAAATACCCAAGCTTGTATAACCCTAATTTTACTTCCATAATTGTCTTTCATGCCTATGACATAACACATCAACAAATAGGTTTGGCCTGTATATGTGTGTTTACTATTTTGCTCTTTCAATGTTTAGAAAGCAACTATCAAAAACAAAGTTATACTCACTGATATTAATATACTCCCACCCCTCATCATCATTATCACCATCACCATATCATATTGGTTTCCTTTTTTCCACTAATAAATACTGTAAAGTACTTTTCCTGGATTTTAAACAAAGACTTGAGTATTCCAAAATGCTACATATACTCCCTGAAATGATCTCCTTCCCTCCAAAGGTAAATTGTCTATCTCATCCCTTCCCATCAGTTTATGACATTCTATTCTCTCTTTAGGTAAAAATATTTTAGTGAACACCTCATAAGTTATGTAATACTATTAATTATTGAACTAAAAATAAACTTTTCTAAGAGTTTGATCTTCAAGTGAGGAAAATTGCATTGGTTTAAGAACTCCTTTGCTCAAGTCTAAGTTTTCAAGGCAGGTCTCAGTATAAGGTTTCTCATATGGGCTAGGGAATCATGTTCTCCACTAACATGTGATCAGTCAATAAGTAGTGCTTACAGACTCTGCAGCATTTTGATTTTATTCTCCTGTGTATTTTCAGTAAGGAATATTTGAATAATTACAAGGACCTATCACTTTTGTTGAATATCTTCCAATCATGACATTAATAATAGCTCACTGCTCCATGGTTTTTACTATATGCTCCTAACTTTAGTTTTGTATTATTTAAAGTTATATTTATTCAGGTGCATTGGCTATAGCACTGTTTGTGATTTAGAAGTAAGGTGCACACCTCTACAAACATGTGTTACCATAGCACATTGACCACCAAAGCCTCAGTAATTCTTCAATATACAGCACTGGATCTCCTACGTCCCTGTTCTACAGTCAGATTTCTAGGATTTGTTTTGTTTTGTTTTGCTTTCTGTTCTTCGTTTTGTCTTTTATATTGCACATATGTGAGAAATGTCCTGTATTTGCCTTTCTCTTTCTGAATTGTTGTGTTATTTTACATTAAAGTAAGTCTTAACATTTTAATATGAGAAATGCATCAGTCCCAGTAAATATATGTATTTGAAAACTTATTATTGGGAAATGCTTATGTTTGGATACAAGAAAGAGGGAAAAGTAAAAGATGGTAGTGAAAACCAGCAGAGCAGTATATGGGCTTTAACACTTTGTAGTTCCTATATATTTCCTATAGACCCCAACACATTTTAATGCACTTATTGATTCTTATTTAGCAGTTGCAGAAACTAAAGTTTATGAATTGAAGAACATTTCCCACAGTCAAATAATTAGTAAATGGATCTGACAAATTTTACCATGAAAAGCTGTTTTTCCTAAGAGCCTTTGTACTGGGAGAGGCCTGTTCTGAAATTACCACCTCTCATCTTTGTAATACTTTCAATGTAAGCTCTGTGATGAGTGATGGGCTCCTTCATGAATTTTTGGTTAAAGAGAGCATGGATAACCTTTCTCAGAACAGAGTGTTTCAGGGGACAGATTGCAGGGAAAGGCAGTCCAAATGAATTGTTTGTTGCCCTGGGGGGAGGTAGATCATGGCAGTGGGGGTGAGAGGACATTTTGTGAAACTTTATTCAGTGGTGGATCTTCGTGATGTTGGAGCCTCAAGATCATGTTTTTGTTTAATTGTCCCCCTCTTTTGAAATTTGCACCTTTTGAAAGTTGAAGATTTCGCATCCATGTGTCTGCAGCCCTCAAAACCACACAGACACAAATATTCCCTTTCTAATTATCCTCCCCCATTGAGCTGCATGTGCCCCTGTGCTTTCCAGAATTTCTACCACTAGCTAAATTCTTGAATACCATCTATGCTCTGACCTGGGCAAAGAGTGAATTTTTTGTTTGTTTTTGTTTTTGTTTTTGTTTTTTTGCTATCCAGAGGACTGAACTGCTCCTTCCAAGCTTTGCCTTAGAGTATACTTCCATATCCTAGCACCCATACAGAATTTTCTCACCCTATAATCACCCTTTAATTATAGTTTTAAAATTCATTTTATTAGCAAGCATTCCCTGTTTAACCTAGAGTGGGGTTCCTATCTACTGACTGAACACAGACTGATGCAGAGAACTTAAGTTTTATGAGTCACTTGTGTGTTTGTGTAGTTGAATCAATGGTAGATAACATGTACTAGTACGTGAAATGAGAAGCAAAGGTGGAAGATAATGTAATTACAAGAGGATCAAACTTTAGAGAAAAGAAATATTTGTCAATGAAAAAGGCTTCATGGATCAGAGTTTGTTCATCTTGGAAACTACGGGAATAGATGAAAACAGGCTAAAAGTAAGTGGGTCAGTCTAAAAATATTAACAAGATTTGCCATAGTGTCCAGCAATTCCACTCCTAAATAAATACCTGAAGAGTACAAAGACACTAATTTGAAGGGCATGTGCACTCCTATGTTCACTGCAGCACTATTTACATTAGTCACTTTATGGAAAGGACCCAAGTGCCCAAGTACAGATGCATGGAGAAAGGTGTGGTATATCTCCACAATGGCTACTACTCAGCTATAAAAGATGATAAAATCTATACATGCACAGCAACATGGATGGAACTGGAGTAGGGGATACTACATAATGCTCTCTGGAGGAGCATTTTAAATTTTAAATTTTAAATTCGTGTTTTTAAATTTTTAAACATACCTTTGACTAACTTGCCAATTACTAATTACATCATAGGCAATCTCATTATAACTCAATGCTGCCTTATATAGAAACTCCTCACAATTCTGTTATACATCTTATGAATCCAAATAAACTTGAAAATAATATTTTTCACTCATAGAGGGAACCATAATTTTCAACACTGTATAAGGTTAATCAAGCATGGTTGACAGTGTCTCTCAGCCTCCCACTTTTACTCCAGATTGATCTGTTCTTGATACTGCTTGGTGTCACTGTCTCCTCACCTCAGCTGACATGTGAATATTATCTCCAAGTCATATAAGTCAACCACATGTCTTACTATATAACTAAAGAATAGTAGAAGCAGCCTGTTAAAAATTACCAAATTAAAGAAAATAGCTACACAGAAATTAATTCATTTATTATCTCACAGTCTTGGAGGATGTAAGTCCATCCTGCTGGGATCTCAAGTCAGGATCTCACTCCCAATGCTGCAATCAAGTCTGCATCCATGATACCAGCAAAATATTTTTGCCATATAATTTAACAAGAGTAGCCTGATTTAGTAAGTATGATCAAAATATTGCATGAACACGATTAAGCTAAAGTTAAAATTTTCATGAAAATCTATATTTCTCCATCTTGTATTTAATGTGCCAAATCTTAAACATTTATCACCAGCCACTGCTTCCAGATGCCGAACAAAATGATTCCTCTTACACATTTTCATGGCATCAGTATCACAATTTTCACATAAGGCTTCAGAGGTCACAATTGTTCCTAAGCAATAATTTTGTAGAATAGGGTGAGAATAGAGAGGTATTTATCAATTCATTGTACCTCTCTCCATAAGTTTACAATTTTCCTAAAAACAACCCTAGTACATGGTGATCATGACTGTATATAGGCACATCTGGTAGTAGAGCACCCAATGAGGAGTCAGTCCTTATCAGAAAGTTGTCAGTGTCTGTTCCTTTGTTTTGCTTAATTATATTACAAGTGAAATCACTGAGTATTATTCTTTCCCTTTCTGACTTATATCACTGACCAAAAAAACCACCAGTGCCATTCATACTGTTGCAAGTGGAAAAATTTCATGTTTGTAATCATTGTAATCACTAATTACAATGATTGTAATCACAATCATTCAATTGTGTATATATGTGTTACACCTTCTTAACACACTCGTGTGTTTTTGGGCGTGTAGGTTGTTTTCCACACTTGGCTGATTTAAATAGTGCTGCAATGAACACAAGAGTGCATTGGACCCTCCCTATTTGTTTTTCCTCAACTTTTACACTGACACTTTCTAAACAATTTTTAACCATTAGAATTTATTTCCCAAGCCAGATCACCCTGAGATATTTGCCTGTGTTTATATGTGTATGCATGTGTTGATGAGTGTACATATAGAAAGAAATAGACACAGAATCATGAAACACAAAGGTTTATGAATACTTTCTTACAATAAATTAAGAACACTAGACTGGGGGCCTCCCTGGTGGCACAGGTGGTTGAGCTCCGCACTGTGAAGCTATCCGCAGCCTCTGTCGTGTGGGTTTGATCCCGGCCAGCAGGAGAAAATCCCACATGGCGAAGCAGACCTCTCCTGTCTCGCCCACTGCTCCCCTCAGCAGTGTATTTTGTCAGTCTAACTGTTCTGTTCCCCACTCTGTATCTGGTGAATCCTCTCACCCTCCTGTGCATTTGGCCTGTATCCTGGTTCTTGTATAGATAAATAAATCTTTTAAAGAAAAAAAAAAAAGAACACTAGACTCAACCAATGAAGAATCATTTTTTTCAAGATAATATTCATAGCAAATATCCTGCAGTGAGTTGTGGGTGCTGAGCAGTGAGACTGGAGACAAAACATACAGTTGGAATGACCACTGAGATGAGCTCTGCCAGGATCCGAGAAGGTAACATACATAGAAGACAAAGTGTAAGTCAATGTCCACATCTGACACAAAAGACACACAAAATTGTTAGAAGAAAATAATGTTTATTTGAAAATGATCACAATATATAATTATGCAACCAGAAGTGAGAGAGTTTCAACTTGCTCTATGATTTAAACCATGACTTCTGTGTTCCAAGGGATCATGGAGTAACTCAATTTCCCTCAGCAACAAGCTGGACTGCTAAGAGGACAATGAATATTCTTCAGGTTCTGAATACTCTCATCAGTGGATTCAGTGGTGATCATGAGTCAGTGAAGAAGAAATGCCTTGGAGTGATCATGGTAGAAGAAACTCTGCATTGTGGTGATGTTTTAGCAGCAAGAAGAATAGCACCTTCTGTAGGCAAATGGCCGGTAGCTCCAACAGGAAGAACCATATCCAGAACCATAGCCACAGCCATATCCGGAACCATAGCCACAGCCATATCGGGAGCCATAGCCACAGCCATATCCGGAACCGTAACCACAGCCATAACGAGAGCCATAGCCACAGCCATATCCAGAACCATAGCCACAGCCATATCCGGAACCATAGCCACAGCCATATCCGGAACCGTAGCCACAGCCATAACGGGAGCCATAGCCACAGCCATAGCCATAGCCAAGGCCACAGCCGTAGCTCCCACAGGAGTTTCCAAAGTAGTTGCAACACATGGTGTTAGGAGGCGAAGTTTCAGTTGACCTGTAGGAGGATATTTCTGAAGTTGAGTACCAGCTACTCTTGCAGGGTGCTTATATACTCCAGAAATGGGTGAGTCAAACTCACATAGGCTCTGTTCTCATTTTACAACTATTTTCTAAAGTGAGCTTATTCTGTGTACAGCAACTTGTCAGGATTTTACATTACTTACTGCCAACCTAGGAATTTTCCAATGATTATTTCAAACATAAAGATCAATGTGCTAAACACCCAACCTTACATAACCCTAATTTTACTTCCAAATTGTTTCATGGCTATGATATATCACAGCAATGAAGAGGTTTGATCTGTAAATTTGTAAGTTTTCTATTTTGCTCTTTCATTATCTTAGAAAGAAACTATCAATATTGAGCACAATGTTCTACTGATTGCTATTAATATCTCCCCTCCACATCCTCAATATCACCTTCATTTTCATAGTATGTTTTCCTTTTTCCATTAATAAGGTAAATACTGTAAAATGCTTTCCTTAGTTTGGACAGGGAATTGAGTATTTCAACATGCTACATTTAATCTCCTCTCTGAAGTTTATCTATAGCATCCTTTTCAGCAATCAGTTTATGATATTCTATGCCATATTTATGCAAAATTTTTTAGGGAACATATGCCATGTTTATGTTTCCTTTTTTTCCTGTTCCTCTGCTTTGTTATTTATATTTCACATATGAAAGAAATGTCCTATACTTGCTTTTTTTTCTGATTTACTTTACTTACATTATTAAAGTTACTATTAACATAGTAATACAATAAAAACATCAGTCTAAGTTAATAAAGATATTTGAAAACTGTTATTATTTGGGAATGCTTATGTTTGCACACAAGAAAGGGGGGGGGAAGTAAAAGAACACAGGGACTCCTGATATAGCAGGACCTGTGCATCACACTTTGTATGTATGTATACAAAGGACTCCACAATAGGAATCTCACATTAGGTTAAACAGGGACTGTGCTATTAAAATTAAATTTTAAACTATAATAAAAGTTGATTATAGGGTGTGAAAATTCTGTATGGTTGCCTAGGATGTGGAACAATACTCAAGAAAGACAATACATCCTACTGACTCCACAATTTAATGCACTTACTCTTATTTAGCAATTGCAGAAACTAAAGTTTATCATTTTGAGAACATTTCCCATAGTCAAATAATTACTAACTGGTTCTTACAAACTTGGCCATGAAAAGCTGTTTCTCCTACAGAGCCATTGAAACTGGGAGAGGAGTGCTTTGAACTTACTTAACTCATATCCTAATATTTTCACACTATGCTCTGTGATGAGTGATGGGCTCCTTCCTGATTGTCACTTTGATCTAAGCATGACATTAAGCTTTCTTGTCATAGAGTGCTACAAAGGAGAAACTATAGGACAAAGCAGTTCTTCATTTGTGTTTGCTCTCGAGGGGAACAGTAGGTTAGGACACTTTGAGATTCTTTTAAGTGGTGGGTCATCAGTAATGTTAGAGTCTCAAGATCATGTTTGTATATTTTTCCCCCACTTGCTGAAATTAGCACCTTGAAGATTTCTCATCCATGAGTGTCTATAGCCACAAACTCCCCAGACACTCAGATTCCCTTACTAGTTTTCCTCCCAAAGAGAGCAGATTGTACCCCTGAGCTTCCCAGTAATTCTACCACTTGCTGAACGTTTGATTATTGGGTCCACTGAATAGAGAATAGCTGTAGCTTGGCCAAAAGAGTGAAATTTTTTGGCTATCCAGAATTTTAAATCCCCTTCCATGTTTTCTTTCTTGAGTATTGTTCCACATCCTAGACAACCATATAGAATTTTCACACCCTATAATCAACTTTTATTATAGTTTAAAAATTAATTTTAATAGCACAGTCCCTGTTTAACTTAATGTGAGATTCCTATCTACTGACTGCACATAAGCTAAGGCAGAGAGCTTTAGTTTTATGAGACATTTGTTCATATGTGGTATTTGAATCAATGACAGCAGATAAGATTACTAGTCTATGTGAAATGAAAAGAGAAAATGGAAGATAATGCAATCACAAGAGAACTAAAACTTACAGAAAAGCAAAGAACAATGTGTCGATGAAAAAGACATCATGTATTAGAGTCTGTTCATCTTAGAAATATGGGAACAGTTGACAACAATCTAAAAGGAGCTGAGTCAATCACAAAATATTAATAATAGATTTGTCATATGATCCAGCAATTCCACTCCTAGGTATAACTATTAAAATAAGCTTGACTAATAACTTTTACTAACTGGCCAATTACTAATTATTTCATAGGAGATGTCATAATAAGTCAATGCTGTCTTATATAGAAACTCCTAACCACTTTATGTTATATCTTATGAATCCAAATAAACTTGAAAAAATATTTTTTATCCATTGAGGCACCTTAATTTTCAACACCGTATAAAGTTAATCAATTATGCTTGATAGTGTCTCTCACCTTCCCACTTTTATGGCAGAATGTTCTGTTTTTGATACTCTTTAGTGTCAATATCTCCTCACCTCAGTGGACGTGCGAATATGATCTCCAAGTCATCCTAGTCAATCACGTATCTTACTACATAACTAAAGAAAAGAGGAAGCAGCCTGTTAAAGATTACCAAATTTAAAGAAAATAGCAGCTCAAAAGTTAATTCAATTATTATTTCAGAGTCTTTGGGGATGCAAGTATCCAACTGGAATCTCAAGTCAGGATCCCACTCCCAATATTGCAATCAAGTCTTCATCAAAGACATCAGCAAAATACCTTTGCCATATAATTTAGCTAGAGTAGTCTTATTTAGCAAGAATGACCCAAATATTGGACCTCCCTGATGGCGCAGGGGTTGAGTGTCAGTGCTTACAAGCTATAACCAGCAACTGGGGCCTGAGTTCAATCCCTAGCCAGGGCGCTGACCCACATGACCTAACAGACCTCTCCTGTCTCACTCACTGCTCCCCTCAGAGTGTATTTCAGTAGATCCACCTGTTCTGCTCCCCACTATTTCTGGTGAATCCTCTCACCCCTCACCTCTGCCCTATACCCCAGTTCTTATATGCATAAATGAAAATAAATCTTAACAAATTTTGAGTGAACCCAATTAAGCCATAAAGTTAAATTTTTAGTAAAATTTGCATTTTTCTATCTTACTTAATATGCCAAACCTTAAACATATATCATTATTCTACCAATAATTTTGTAGACTAGGGTGAGATTAGAGAGGTATTTATAAATGGATTCATTGTACCTCTCCCCATGAGTTTATAATTTTCCTATAAAATTACCCTAGTAGAGGGTGATTATGACTGGGTGTAGGCATATCAGGTGGTAGAGCACCCAATGAGGAAGTCAGTCCATTTCAGATTTGTTCAGATGTCAGTGACTGTTCCTTTGCTTTAACTATATCATACATATGTGGGAGATCATTTAGTATTCTTCTTTCCTTTTCTAACTTATTTCACTGAACACAATCTCTGTCAGTTCCATTCATGCTGTCATAAGTGGAAAAATTTCACATTTATAATCACTAGCTAGCATTCAATTGTGTATATATGTGTTACATCTTCTTAACACACTCATATGATGTAGGACAGGGAGGTTGTTTTCCACAATAGCTGATTTAAATAGTGCTGCAAGTGTACATATAGAAAGAAATATACAGACCCAGAATCATGAAACAAAAAAGCTTAGGAATCAATACTTCCTTACAATGAATTAAGAACACTAGACTCAACCAATAAAGACCCATTTTTTTCAGAATGACATCATGGCAAATATACTTCAGTAAGTTGTGGGTTCTGAACAATGCCTGGAGGCCAGTCACAGCAGAATGACCACTGATATTAGTACTATCAAAATCCAAGAAGGTCACAGACTGATAAGACCAAGTGCAAGTCAATGGCCACATCTGACACAATAGATTCACAAACTTGTTAGGAGCAAAGAATCATGTTTATTTGGAAATGATCACAATATAGAAATATGCTCAAGAAGTTGTAGGGATTCAATTTGCTCGATGACTTAAACCATGTCATCTGCTTTGCAAGAAGATCATAAAAACTCAATAACAGGTGGAATGCCAAGAGGAGAATGACTACTCTTCAGGCTGAATCCTCTCTCATCAGTTGATTTAAGTTGTGACCATGAGTCAGTGAAGAAGAAATTCCTTGGATTGATCAGTTTAGAAGATTTTCTGCATTCCAGTGATGTTTTAGCAGCAGGAAGAATAGCAGCTCCTGTAAACAATTGGTCGGTAGCCACAGCAGGAAGCTCCATATCCAGAACCATAGCCACAGCCATATCTGGAACCATAGCCACAGCCATATCCAGAACCGTAGCCACAGCCATATCTGGAACCATAACCACAGCCATATCCAGAACCGTAGCCACAGCCATATCCAGAACCATAGCCACAGCCATAGCGGGAGCCATAGCCACAGCCATAGCCATAGCCAAGGCCACAGCCATATCTGGAACCATAGCCACAGCCATAGCCAGAACCATAGTAGCCACAGCCATAGCGGGAGCCATACCCACAGCCATAGCCAAGGCCACAGCCGTAGCTCCCATAGGAGTTTCCAAAGTAGTTGCAACACATGGTGTCAGGAGGTGAAGTGTCGGTTGACCTGTAGGAAGATCTTACTGAAGTTGAGTATCAGCTACTCTTGCAGGAGACTTATATACTCCAGCAATGGGTGGGTCAACCTCACATGGGCTCTGTTCTCATTATATAACTATTTTCAAAAGTGAGCTCATTCTGTGTACAACAATCTTGTCAGGATGTCACATTATATACTGCCATCCTGGGAATTTTCTAATGGCTATTTAAACACGAAGATACATGCGCTAAACAACCAAACATTTATAACACTAATTTTACCTCCATAATTATTTTCATGGTCATAACATAACACATCAACAAATACTTGGCCTGTATATGTGTTCACTATTTTGCTCTTTCATTGTCTTAGAAAGCAGCTATCAATATTGAGCTCAAGGTTCTACTGATTGCTATTAATATCTCCCCTCCACATCATCAATATCACCTTCATTATCATATCACAGTGTTTCCTTTTTTCCAATAATAAGCTTTATACTGTAAAATACTTGCCATGGTTTGGATAAGGAATTAGGTATTGCAATATGCTATATTTATTCCCTGAAATAATCTCCTTGTCTGAAGAAAATTTGTCTATTCATCCTTTCCATCAGTTTATAATATTCTATAGTATCTTTAGTACAAATTGTTTAGGAAACACCAGAATAGAAACTAATCATTGACAAAATACAAACACTTAATAATGAAACACTTTTTTAAGATTTCAACTTTCAGTAAAGAAAATGCTTTGGTTTAAGCATGTCTGAGTTCAAGTCCAAATTTTCAGTGCAAGTCTCCTTATAAGGTTCTCATTTTGTAGTCATGATCTCCACTAACATTAGTTCAAACAAAATTGAACTCGCAGACATGAAATATTCTATTCCCACTGGTTCTCAAATATTTTTTAAAGATTTATTTTATTTATACAAGAACAAAGGTACAGGTCAGATGCACGGGAGGGTGAGAGGATTCACCAGAGACAGAGCGGGGAACAGAACAGGCAGACTGACGAAATACACTGCTGAGGGTGAGCAGCAGGCAAGACAGGAGAGGTCTGCTTGCCATGTGGGTTGCTCCAAGGCCAGCGAGGATCAAATCGGCACTGCAGAGGCTGCCAACAGTTTCACAGGGCTGTGCTCAACCGACTGCACCACCAGGGAGGCCCTCAAACAAATAATTTTTGAATAATAATAGTTACCCATACTGTATTTGCTGGATGCTTACCAATTTTGGATTTTATGGTGTACTGTTCCATGGTACACTATAACTGTTCAAGGTTAATATAGATATTTGACAACTGTTATTCTTTGGGAATGCTTATGTTTGGATACAAGACAGAGGGAAAAGTAAAAGAAGGTAGTGACTCCCCATATAGCAAGATCTGTGCCTCACTCTATGAGTTCCTAATATTTCCTATAAACTCCATCACTATTTTAATGCACTTATTCTTATTTTCAGTTGCAGAATCTAAAGTTTATAAATTTGAGAACATTTACAATAATCAAATTAATAGTAACTGGTTCTGACAAATAGGGCCATGAAAAGCTATTTCTCCTACAGAGCTACTGTAACTGGAAGAGGAATGTTCAAAACTAACTGTGTCTCCTCTCCTAATATTTTCTTTTTTTTAAAGATTTATTTATTTATGCATACAAGAGCTGGGGCACAGGGCAGAGATGGTGGGAGGTGAGAGGATTCACCAGAGACAGAGTGGGGAACAGAACAGGCAGACAGACTGAAATAAACTGCTGAGGGGAGCTGTGGGCGACTGAGGATATGTATGCTGTGCCATTTGGGTTGCTCCCTGGCCACCAGGGTTTGAACTCATGCTGCAGATGCTGCAGATTGCTTCATAGTGCAGTGCTTTACCCCTTGTGCCACCAGGGAGGCCCCCTAATATTTTCAGTGTATGTTCGATGACGAGTGATGGCTCCTTCATGATTTTGCACATAATTTGAGCAAGGCATTAAGCTTTCTTGGCATAGAGTGCTGCAGAGGCGATACTGCAGGAGAAAGCAGTTCTGCATTTTATGTTTGCACACGTGGTGGGTGGTAGGTGAGGACTTTTTGAGATTCTTTTAAATGGTGGGTCATCGGTGATATTGGAGAATCAAGATCATGTTTTTGTTTATTTGTCCCCTCTGTTGAAACTAGCACCTTGAAGATTTCTCATCCATGAGTATCTGTAGCCACAAACCTGCCCAGACACTCAGATTCACTTGCTAGCTTTCCACCCCAGAGAGCAGTCTGTGCCCCTGATCTTCCCAGGACTTCTACCACTTGCTAAATGTGTGATTACCATCTGCACTGCATAAGGTGTCCCCTGCAGGTCCACTGAATTAAGAACAACTCTAATCTGGCCAAAATTATGAAATATTTCATCTATCCAGAGCACTGAACTACCCCTTCCATGTTTTGCATCCTTGAGTACTGTTCCACACCCAAGACCACCATACAGAATTTTCACAGCCTGTTATCAACTTTTCTCATAGTCTAAAAATTAATTTTAATAGTACAGTCCCTGTTTAGACTAACAAGGTTCTATCTATGGACTGGACACAGGGACCCAGACTGAGGCACAGAGCTTTATTTTGATGAGGCATTTGTGTATACATGGTGGTTGAATCAATACAGCAGATAAGATTACTACTATGTGAAATGAAAAGAGAAAATGGAAGATAATGCAATCACAAGAGGACTAAAACTTAGAGAACAGCAAAGAACAATGTGTTGATGAAAAAGACACCACAGATCAGTGTCTGTTCATCTTGGAAATAGGGCAGTAGTTGACAGCAGCTGAGAGAAGGTGGGTCAATCTCAAAATATTAACAATGGATTTGTCATATGATCCAGCAATTCCACTGCTAGGGAACTACCCGAAGAGCACAAAGACACTAATTTGAAGGGCCATGTGGACTCCTAAGTTCACTGCAGCACTATTTAGATTAGTCACATTATGGAAAGGACCCAAGTGCCTAAGGAGAGTTGCGTGGATAAAGGTGTGGTGTATCTCCACAATGGCTACTGCTCAGCTATAAAATATGATGAAATCTATCCATGCACAGCAACATGGATGGAACTAGAGTGGGTGATACTAATAATGTTCTTTGGAGAAGTGTATGTTTCAATTGAGGAATACGGCTATTAAGTTTAACTAATAACTTTGACAAACTTGCAATTATTATTACTTCTCATGAGATCTCATTATAACTCAATGCTATCTGAAAATGAAACTCTTCACCCTTCTCTGTTAAACATCTGATGTATCCAAATGAACTGGAAAAATAATACTTTTTGTCCTTTGAGGAAACCTTAACTTCAACACTGTATAATGTTAATCAAGTATGGTTGATAGTGCCTCTCAGCCTTCCATTTTTATTCAAAAATGTTCTGTTCTTGATTCTCTTTGGTGTCAATGTCTTGTCACCTCAACTGATATAGGAATATAATGTCCAAGTCATGCTAGTCAAGCACATGTCTTACTACATAACTAAAGAACAGTAGAAGAAGTCCTTTAAATTATTTAAGCAAATTAAAAAAAAAAAACAACAACAGCTCCAAAATTAACTCATTTACTACATCACAATCTTGAGAGATGTAAGTCCATTCAATTGGGATCACAAGCAGGATCCCACTCCTAATATTGCATCAGTCTTCACCCTCAACATAGGCAAAAATCTTTGCCATATAATTTCACTAGAGTTGTCCAATTTAGCAAGTATGACCCAAATATTGCATGAACACAATTAAGCTAAAATGTTAAATTTTTAGTAAAATTTACATTTTCCATCTTACTTAACATGCCAAACTTAAACATATTATCACTGGCCACAATTTACAGATGCAGAAACAAAAAATGTTCCAGTTATGTATATTAATGTAATAGCATCACCATTTTCGCATAAGGTTTCAGAGGTCTGGTTACTTCCTAACCAATAATTGAGAATAGGGTGAGAGCAGAAAGGTACTTATAAATGGGTACCTTGTACCTCTCCCAATGAGTTTACAATGTTCCTATAAAAAAACCTAGGAGATGGTGATCATGACTGAGTGTAGGCATATCTGCTGGTAGAGCACCCAGTGAGGAAGCCAGTCCATTTCAGATGTGTGCAGATGTCAGTGTCTGTTCCTCTGCTTTGTTTAACTATATCATACATACATGTGAGGTCATTCAGTATTGTTCTCCCTCTTTCTGACTTATTTCACTGAACACAATCTCTGCCAGTTCCATTCATGCTGTTGCAAGTGGAAAATTTTCACAATTATAATCACAAGCTAGCATTCAATTCTATATATGTGTGTTACATCTTCTTAACACACTCATGTGTTGTTGAGCACGCAGATTGTTTTCCACTCTAGCTGATATAAATAGTGCTATAATTAACATAAGAGTGCATTGGACACTCCATATTCTTTTCCCTCAACTATTACACTGACTCTATCCATCAAAGTTTTCACCATGAGAATTTCCCATACCACATTACCCAGAGATATTTGTCTGTTTTTATATGTATGCATCTGTTGATGAGTGTTGAAAGAAATAGAGAAAGAAATAGAAAGAAAGAAATAGAGAGACATAAGAGCATGAAGCAAAAAAGCTTAGGAATAATTACTTCCTACAATGAATTAAGAACACTAGACTCAACCAATAAAGACCCATTTTTTTTTTCAGAATGATATCATGCTGATCAATGAGTGAAGATAAGACACACAGTTGGAATGCCCACAGAGATTACCTCTGACAGGCTTAAAGAAAATCACAGAAGGTAACACAAAGTATAAGTCAAAGGCCATGTCTGACACATAAAGACACAAACTTGTTAGGAGCAAAGAATTACGTTTATTTGGAAATGATCACAATACAGGTAAGCACTAGAAGTAGATGGTTTCAACTTGCTCTGTGAATTAAAACATGTCTTCTGCTTTCCAAGAAGATCATGAAAAAATCATTACAAGCTGGAATGCCAAGAGGGGAATGACTATTCTTCAGGCTGAATCCTCTCTCTTCAGTTGATTCAGTTGTCATCATGAGTCAGTGAAGAAGAAATTTTTGGATTGATCAGTTTAAAAGATTTTCTGCATTCCAGTGATGTTTTAGCAACAGGAAGAATAGCAACTCCTGTAAACAATTGGTCTGTAGCTACACCAGGAAGCCCCACATCCGGAACCGTAGCCACAGCCATATCCAGAACCGTAACCACAGCCATATCCGGAACCATAGCCACAGCCATATCCAGAACCATAACCACAGCCATATCCGGAACCATAGCCACAGCCATATCCGGAACCGTAGCCACAGCCATATCCAGAACCATAGCCACAGCCATATCCGGAACCATAGCCACAGCCATATCCGGAACCGTAGCCACAGCCATATCCAGAACCGTAGCCACAGCCATATCTGGAACCATAGCCACAGCCATAACGGGAGCCATAGCCACAGCCATAGCCATAGCCAAGGCCACAGCCGTAGCTCCCACAGGAGTTTCCAAAGTAGTTGCAACACATGGTGTTAGGAGGTGAAGTTTCAGTTGACCTGTAGGAGGATATTTCTGAAGTTGAGTACCAGCTACTCTTGCAGGGTACTTATATACTCCAGCAATGGGTGGGTCAACCTCACATGGGCTCTGTTCTCATTTTACAACTATTTTCTTAAATGCACTTAGTCTGTGTACACCAATCTAGTCAGGATGTCATATTACTAACTGCCATCCCAGGAATTTTTAATGGGTATTTCAAATATAAAGATCAATGTGCTAAACACCCAATCTTATATAACCCTAATTTTACTTCCACAATTTTTTTCATGGCTCTGAAATAACACATCGATAAATATATTTGGTCTGTATACAAGTGTTCACTATTGTGCTCTTTCACTGTGTTAGAAAGCAGCTATCAATACTGAGATCAAGGTTCTACTAATTGCTAGGAATATCACCACCTCCACATCATCAATATCACCTTCATTATCATATCACAGTGTTTCCTTTTTTCCATTAATAAGGTACATACTTTAAAATACTTGCCGTAGTTTAGACAAGGAATGGAGTACTTCAACATGCTACATTTATTCCCTGTAATAATCTCTTCGTCTAAAGATAATCTATCTCATCCTTTTCATCAGTTTATAATATTTTATAGTACCTTTAGTAATATTTTTTTTTTAGTAAACAGGTCTGACTACGTTCTAACCCATAATTGAGAATAGGCTGAGAGTTGAAATGTATTTATAAATGGGTACCTTGCAAGGCAAACCTCCTTATCAGGCTCTCATTTTGTAGTCATGGTCTCCATTAACATGTGTTCAATCAAAAATTAGTATCAAAGACATGAAATATTTTATTCTCTCTGGCTCTCAAATAATTTTCATATAATAATGTTTACCCATACTAATTTTGGTGGACCCTTAACAATTCTGAGATTAATTAAGGTGTACTGTTCCATAGTACACTGTAACAGTTCTAGGTTAATATGGACATATGAAAACTATTATTATTAGGGAATGCTTATGTTTGGATACAAGAAATGGGGACAGGGAAAAGTAAAAGAGGTAGTGACTCCCCATATAGCCAGACCTGTGCTTCACTCTTTGAGTTCCTTGATATTTCCTATAAACTTCATCACTATTTTAATGCACTTATTCTTATTTGACAGTTGCAGAATCTAAAGTGTATGAATTTCAGAACATTTTCCATAGTCAAATAATTAGTTAATGGTTCTGACAAACTGGGCCTTGAAGTTATTTTTCCTACAGAGCCATTGAAAGTGGGAGAGGACAAACTGGGCCTTGAAGTTATTTCTCCTACAGAGCCATTGAAAGTGGGAGAGGAATGTTCTGAACTTACTGCATCTCATCTCAATGTATGTTTTTCAGTATATGTCCTAGAATGAGAGAAGGGCTCCTACAGAAATTCAGACTTTAATCTGAGCATGGCATTTAAATTTCTTGGTATAGAGTATTGCAGGGGAGATACTGCAGGAGTAAGCAGTTCTGCATTTTTTCTTTGCTCACCTGGGGGGTGGTAGGTGTGGAGTTTTTGAGACTCTTTTAAATGGTGGGTCATCAGTGACACTGGAGAATCAAGATCATGTTTTTGTTTATTTGTCCCCTCTGTTGATACTAACACCTTGAATATTTCTCATCCATGAGTGTCTGTAGCCACAAACCTACCCAGATATTCAGATTCCCTTACTAGCTTTCCTCACCCAGAGAGCTGTCTGTGCCCCTGACTTTCCCAGGACTTCTACCACTTGCTAAATGCTTGATTACCATATACACTAACAGGATCACCTCTGCGGGTCCACAGAATATAGAACCACACTAACCTGGCCAAAGGAGCGAAATATTTTGTCTCTGCATGGCGCTGAACTACCACTCCATGTTTTGCCTCGCTTGAGTATTGTTCCACACACAAGAAAACCATACAGATTTTCACAGCCTGTTATCAACTTTTCTCATAGTCTAAAAATTAATTTTAATAGCACAGTCCCTGTTGAGACTAGCATGAGGATCCTAACTACTGACTGGACACAGGGACACAGATGGAGGCACACAGCTTTATTTTGATGAGGCATTTGTGTATACATGGTAGTTGAATCAATAATAGCAGATAAGATTACTACTATGTGAATGAAAAGAGAAAATGGAAGATAATGCAATCATGAGGGGACTAAAACTTAAAGAACAGCAAAGAACAATGTGTTGATGAAAAAGACACCACAGATCAGTGTCTGTTCATCTTGGAAATATGGCAGTAGTTGACAGCAGCTGAGAGAAGGTGGGTCAATCTCAAAATATTAGCAATAGATTTGTCATATGATCCAGCAATTCCACTGCTAGGGAACTACCTAAAGAGCACAAAGACATTAATTTGAAGGGCCATGTGGACTCCTAAGTTCACTGCAACACTATTTACATTAGTCACATTATGGAAAGGACCCAAGTGCCTAAGGAGAGTTGCGTGGATAAAGGTGTGGTATATCTCCATAATGGCTACTACTCAGCTATAAAAGATGATGAAATCTATCCATACACAGCAACAAGAATGGAACTAGAGTGGGTGATACTAATAATGTTCTTTGGAGAAGTGTATGTTTGTTTAAATTTAGGAATATGACTATTAAAATAAGCTTAAATAATAACTTTGACAAACTTGCAATTATTATTACTTCCAATGAGATCTCATTATAACTCAATGCTGTCTGATAATGAAATTCCTCACCGCTCTATGCTATACAGCTTATGAATCCAAATAAACTGGTAAATACTTTTTATCCATTGAGGGAACCTTAATTTCAACACTGTATAATGTTAATCAAGTATGGTTGATAGTGCCTCTCAGTGTCTCATTTTTACCCCAAAATGTTCTGTTCTTGATTCTCTTTGGTGTCAACATCTCATCACTCAACTGATATAGGAATATAATGACTAAGTCATCCTAGTCAATGACACGTCCTACTTATAACTAAAGAACAGTAGAAGAAGCCCTTTAAATTATTTTATCAAATTAAAATAAAACAACTCAGAAATTAACTCATTTATACATCACAGTCTTGGGGGATGTAAGTCCATTCAACTGGGATCATAAGCAGATTCCCACTCCCAATACTGCAATCAGTCTTCACCCTCAACATAGGCAAAATATCTTTGCCATATAATTTAACTAGAGTAGCCCAGTTTAGCAAGTATGACCTGAATATTGCCTGAACACAATTAAACCAAATAGTTAATTTTTAAGTAAAATTTGCATTTTCCATCTTACTTAACACATCAAACTTTAAACATGTTATCACTAGCCACTGCTTCCAGATGCAGAAAAAAAATTCCAGTTTTGTATATTAATGTAATAGCATCACCATTTTCACATAAGGTTTCAAAGGTCTGATTATTTCTTAACCAATAATTGAGAACAGGGTGAGAGTAGAAAGGTATTTATAAATGGGTACATTGCACCTCTCCCCATGAGTTCATAATTTTCCTATAAAACAAACCTAGTAGATGGTGATCATGACTGAGGATAGGCACATCTGCTGGCAGAGAACCCAGTGAGGAAACCAGTCCATTTCAGATGTGTGCAGATGTCAGTGTCTGTTCCTCTGCTTTAACTATATCATATATACATGTGAGATCTTTCAGTATTGTTCTCCCTCTTTCTGACTTATTTCACTGAATACAATATCTGCCAGTTCCATTCATGCTGTTATAACTGGAAAAATTTCACGTTTATAATCACGAGCTAGCATTCAATTCTATATACATGTGTTAAATTTTCATAACATACTCAGGTATTGCTGAGTGCATAGGGTGTTTTCCACTCTGGCTGATTTAAATAGTGCTATAATTAACATAAGAGTGCATTGGACACTCCATATTCTTTCCCCTCAACTATTACACTGACTCTATCCAATCAATGTTTTCACCATGAGAATTTCCCATACCACATTACCCTGAGACACTGTCGGTGTTTTTATGTGTATGCATCTGTTGATGAGTGTACATATTGAAAGAAACAGAGAGTCACAGGAGCATGAAGCAAAAAAGCTTAGGAATAATTACTTCCTACAATGAATTAAGAACACTAGACTCAACCAATAAAGACCCATTTTTTTTCAGAATGATATCATGACAAACATCCTTCAGTAAGTTGTGGGTGCTATCAATGAGTGGAGACAAGACACACAGTTGGAATGCCCACAGAGATTACCTCTGCCAGGTTTCAAGAAGATCATGGACAGGTAAGAAAAAGTGTAAGTCAATGGCTATGTCCGACACATAGAGACACAAAATTGTTAGGAGCAAAGAATCATGTTTATTTGGAAATGATCACAATACAGGTAATCACTAGAAGTAAAGGGTTTCAACTTGCTCTTTGAGTTAAACCATGTCTTCTGCTTTCCAAGATGATCATGAAAATCTCAGTTACAAGCTGGAATGCCAAGAGGAGAATGACAATTCTTCAGGCTGAATCCTCTCTCTTCAGTTGATTCAGTTGTCATCATGAGTCAGTGAAGAAGAAATTCCTTGGATTGATCAGTTTAGAAGATTTTTTGCATTCCAGTGATGTTTTAGCAACAGGAAGAATAGCAACTCCTGTAAACAACTGGTCGGTAGCTACACCAGGAAGCCCCACATCCAGAACCGTAGCCACAGCCATATCCGGAACCATAGCCACAGCCATATCCAGAACCATAGCCACAGCCATATCTGGAACCATAGCCACAGCCATATCCAGAACCATAGCCACAGCCATATCCGGAACCATAACCACAACCATATCTGGACCCGTAACCACAGCCATATCCGGAACCATAGCCACAGCCATATCTGGAACCATAGCCACAGCCATATCCAGAACCATAGCCACAGCCATATCTGGAACCGTAGCCACAGCCATATCCAGAACCGTAGCCACAGCCATACCCGGAACCATAGCCACAGCCATAGCCAAGGCCACAGCCATAGCTACCATAGTAATTTCCAAGGTAGTTGCAACACATGTTGTTAGGGGGTGAGGTTTCAGTTGTCCTGTAGGAAGATCTTTCTGAAGTCGAATATCAGCTACTCTTGCAGGACACTTATATACTGCCAGCAACGGGCGGGTCAACCTCACATGGGCTCTGTTCTCATTTTACAACTATTTTCTTAAATGCACTCAGTCTGTGTACACCAACATGTCAGGATGTCATATTGCTAACTGCCATCCCAGGAATTTTGTAATGGGTATTTCAAATATAAAGATCAATGTGCTAAACACCCAAACTTATATAACCCTAATTTTACTTCCACAATTGTTTTCATGGCTCTGAAATAACACATCGATAAATATATTTGGTCTGTACAAGTGTTTACTATTTTGCTCTTTCACTGTCTTAGAAAGCAGCTATCAGTACTGAGATCAAGGTTCTACTAATTGCTAGGAATATCACCACCTCCACATCATCAATATCACCTTCATTATCATGTCACAGTGCTTCCTTTTTTCCATTAATAAAATATATACTGTAAAATATTTGCCATGGTTTGGACAAGGAATGGAGTACTTCAACACGCTACATTTATTCCCTCAAATAATCTCCTTCTGTAAAGAAATTTGTCTATCTCATCTTTTTCATCAGTTTATAATATTCTATAGTATCTTTAGTAATTATTTTTTAGTAAACCCTGGATAAGAAACTAATCTTTGACAAACTATAAATAATTTAACAATACATGAAACACTTTTCTATGATTTCAACTTTGAGGGAAGAAAATACTTTTTGGTTTATTAATGTCTGTACTCAAGTCCAAATTTTCAATGCATGTCTCTTTATAAAGTTCTCATTTTGTAGTCATGGTCTCCATTAACATGTGTTCAATCAAAAAACAATACTCAGAGACATGAAATATTTTATTCTCACTGGTTCTCAAACAAATTATTTTCATATAGTAATGTTTACCCATACTACTTTTGCTGGATACTTAACAATTTTGAGATTAGTTAAGGTATACTGTTCCATGGTATACTATAACTGTCCTGGTTGAATATAGATTTATGCAAACAATTATTTGTGAATGTTTGGATTATTATTATTTGTGCTTATGTTTGGATACAAGTAATGGGGAAAAGTAAAAGAGGTAGTGAATACACATATAGCCAGACCTGTGCTTCACTCTTTGAGTTCCTTGATATTTCCTATAAACTCCATCCCTATTTTAATGCACTTCTTATTTGACAGTTGCAGAATCTAAAGTTTATGAATTTCAGAACACTTTCCATAGTCAAATAATTAGTAAATGGTTCTGACAAACTGGGCCATGAAAAACTATTTCTCCTACAGAGCCATTGAAAGTGGGAGAGGAATGTTCTGAACTTACTGCGTCTCACTTCAATGTATGTTTTTCGGCATATCCTAAGACAAGTGAGGGACTCCCTCAGGAATTCGGATGAGTGAGGGACTCCTTCAGGAATTCTGAGCATGCATTAAAATTTCTTGGTATGGAGTGTTGCAGGGGAGAAACTGCAGAGAAATCAGTTCTGCATTTTTTGTTTGCTGACCTCAGGGGTGGTAGGTGAGGACTTTTTGAGACTCTTTCAAATGGTGAGTCATAAGTGATACTAGAGAATCAAGATCATATTTTTGTTCATTTGTCCCCTCTGTTGAAACTAACACCTTGAAGATTTCTTTCTTTTTTTTTTTTCTTTAAGATTTATTTATTTATTTATTTATACAAGGACTGGGTATAGTCAAAAGCACGATAGGGTGAGAGAATTCACCAGAGCCAGAGCAGGGAGCAGAACAGGCAGAGTGACAAAGAACACTGCTGAGGGGAGCAGTGGGCGGCAGGGGTGGTCTGCTTGCCATGTGGGACTCTCGCCCAGCAGCCGGGGATCAAACCGGTGCTCCAGAGGCTGCGGGCAGCTTCACAGCCCAGCACTCAACTGCTGCGCCACCAGGGAGGCCCATCACCTTGAAGACTTCCCATCCATGAGTGTCTGTAGCCACAAACATCCCCAGACACTCAGATACCCTTACTAGCTTTCCACCCCAGAGAGCTGTCTGTGCCCCTGACCTTCCCAGGACTTCTACCACTTGCTAAATGCTTGATTACCATCTAGCTACACAGGGTGTCCCCTGCAGGTCCACAAATACAGAACAACTCTAACCTGGCCAATGGAGCGAAATATTTTGTCTCTGCACAGCGCTGAACTACCCCTTCCATGTTTTGCATCCTTGGGTATTGTTCCACACCCAAGACAACCATACAGAATTTTCACAGCCTGTACTCAACTTTTCTTATAGTTTAAAAATTAATTTTAATAGCACAGTCCCTGTTGAGACTAGCATGAGGATCCTAACTACTGACTGGACACAGGGACACAGACGGAGGCACACAGCTTTATTTTGATGAGGCATTTGTGTATACACAGTGGTTGAATCAATGTAGCAGATAAGATTACTACTATGTGAAATGAAAAGAGAAAATGGAAGATAATGCAATCACGAGAGGACTAAAACTTAGAGAACAGCAAAGAACAATGTGTTGATGAAAAAGACACCATGGATCAGTCTGTTCATCTTGGAAATAGGGCAGTAGTTGACAGCAGCTGAGAGAAGGTGGGTCAATCTCAAAATATTTACAATAGATTTGTCATATGATCCAGCAATTCCACTGCTAGGGAACTACCTAAAGAGTACAAAGATACTAATTTGAAGGGCCATGTGGACTCCTAAGTTCACTGCAGCACTATTTACATTAGTCACATTATGGAAAGGACCCAAGTGCCTAAGGAGAGTTGCGTGGATAAAGGTGTGGTGTATCTCCACAATGGCTACTACTCAGTTATAAAAGATGATGAAATCTATCCATACACAGCAACAAGGACGTAACTAGAGTGGGTGACACTAATAATGTTCTTTGGAGAAGTGTATGTTTGTTTAAATTGAGGAATGTGACTATTAAAATAAGCTTAACTAATAACTTTGACAAACTTGCAATTATTATTACTTCCCATGAGATCTCATTATAACTCAATGCTGTCTGATAATGAAACTCTTCACCGCTCTATGTTATATATTTGATGAATCCAAATAAACCGGAAAATAATATTTTTTATCCATTGAGGGAAACTTAATTTCAACACTGTATAATGTTAGTCAACTATGGTTGATAGTGCCTCAGCCTCCCAAATGTTCTGTTCTTGATACTCTTTGGTGTCAATGTCAACTCACCGCAACTGATATAGGAACATAATATCCATGTCATCCTAGTCAACCACATGTCTTACTACATAACTAAAGAAAAATAGAAGAACCCCTTTAAATTCTTTTCAAAATAAAAAATATAACAGCTCAGAAATGAACTCATTTACTACATCACATTCTTGAGGGATGTAAGTCCATTCAAGTGGGATCACAAGCAGGATCCCACTCCCAATATTGCAATCAGTCTTCACCCTCAACTTAGGCAAAATATCTTTGCCATATATTTAATTAGAGTAGCCCATTTAGCAAGTATGACCCGAATATTGCATGAACACAATTAAGTTAAAAAGTTAAATTTTTAGTAAAATTCACATTTTTCCATCTTACTTAACATGGCAAACCTTAAACATGTTATCACTGGCCACTGCTTCCAGATGCAGAAACAAAAAATATTCCAGTTATGTATATTAATGTGAGAGCATCAACATTTTCACATAAGGTTTCAGAGGTCTGATTATTTCCTAACCAATAATTGAGAACAGGGTGAGAGTAGAAAGGTATTTATAAATGGGTACATTGCACCTCTCCCCATGAGTTTATAATTTTCCTATAAAACAAACCTAGTAGATGGTGATCATGACTGAGGATAGGCACATCTGCTGGCAGAGAACCCAGTGAGGAAACCAGTCCATTTCAGATGTGTGCAGATGTCAGTGTCTGTTCCTCTGCTTTGTTTAACTATATCATATATACATGTGAGACCTTTCAGTATTGTTCTCCCTCTTTCTGACTTATTTCACTGAATACAATATCTGCCAGTTCCATTCATGCTGTTATAACTGGAAAAATTTCACGTTTATAATCACGAGCTAGCATTCAATTCTATATACATGTGTTAAATTTTCATAACATACTCAGGTATTGCTGAGTGCATAGGGTGTTTTCCACTCTGGCTGATTTAAATAGTGCTATAATTAACATAAGAGTGCATTGGACACTCCATATTCTTTCCCCTCAACTATTACACTGACTCTATCCAATCAATGTTTTCACCATGAGAATTTCCCATACCACATTACCCTGAGACACTGTCGGTGTTTTTATGTGTATGCATCTGTTGATGAGTGTACATATTGAAAGAAACAGAGAGTCACAGGAGCATGAAGCAAAAAAGCTTAGGAATAATTACTTCCTACAATGAATTAAGAATACTAGACTCAACCAATAAAGACCCATTTTTTTTCAGAATGATATCATGACAAACATCCTTCAAAGTCGTGGGTGCTATCAATGAGTGGAGACAAGATTCACAGTTGGAATGCCCACAGAGATTACCTCTGCCAGGCTTAAAGAAGATCATGGACAGGTAAGAAAAAGTGTAAGTCAATGGCCATGTCCGACACATAGAGACACAAAATTGTTAGGAGCAAAGAATCATGTTTATTTGGAAATGATCGCAATACAGGTAATCACTAGAAGTAGAGGGTTTCAACTTGCTCTTTGAGTTAAACCACGTCTTCTGCTTTCCAAGATGATCACGAAAAACTCAGTTACAAGCTGGAATGCCAAGAGGAGAATGACAATTCTTCAGGCTGAATCCTCTCTCTTCAGTTGATTCAGTTGTCATCATGAGTCAGTGAAGAAGAAATTCCTTGGATTGATCAGTTTAGAAGATTTTCTGCATTCCAGTGATGTTTTAGCAACAGGAAGAATAGCAACTCCTGTAAACAACTGGTTGGTAGCTACACCAGGAAGCCCCACATCCAGAACCGTAGCCACAGCCATATCCGGAACCATAGCCACAACCATATCCAGAACCATAGCCACAGCCATATCTGGAACCATAGCCACAGCCATATCCGGAACCATAACCACAACCATATCTGGACCCGTAACCACAGCCATATCCAGAACCATAGCCACAGCCATATCCGGAACCATAGCCACAGCCATAGCGGGAGCCATAGCCAAGGCCACAGCCATAGCCAAGGCCACAGCCATAGCTGCCATAGTAGTTTCCAAGGTAGTTGCAACACATGGTGTTAGGAGGTGAGGTTTCAGTTGACCTGTAGGAAGATCTTTCAGAAGTTGAATATCAGCCACTCTTGCAGGGCACTTATATACTCCAGCAATGGGCAGGTCAACCTCACATGGGCTCTGTTCTCATTTTACAACTATTTTCTTAAATGCACTCAGTCTGTGTACACCAATCTTGTCAGGATGTCATATTACTTACTGCCATCCCAGGAATTTTTAATAGGTATTTCAAATATAAAAATCAATGTGCTAAACACCCAACCTTATATAACTCTAATTTTATTTCCACAATTGTTTTCATGGCTATGAAATAACACATCGACAAATACATTTGGTCTGTACAAGTGTTCACTATTTTGCTCTTTCACTGTTTTAGGAAGCAGCTATCAATACTAAGATCAAGGTTCTAATTGCTAGGAATAGCACCACCTCCACATCATCAATATCACCTTCATTATCATATCACAGTATTTCCTTTTTTCCATTAATAAAATTTATACTCTAAAATATTTGCCATGGTTTGGACAAGAAATGGAGTACTTCAACATACTACATTTATTCCCTGAAATAATCTCCTTGTCTAAAGAAAATTTTTCTAGCTCATCCTTTTCATCGGTTTATAATATTCTGTAGTATCTTTAGTAATATATTTTTAGTAAACAGGTCTGACTACACTCTAAACAATAATTAAGAATAGGGTGAGAGTAGAAAGGTATTTATAAATGGGTACCTTGCAAGGCAAGTCTCCTTATCAGGCTCTCATTTTGTAGTCATGGTCTCCACTAACATGTGTTCAATCAAAAATTAGTACCAAAGACATGAAATATTTTATTCTCTCTGGTTCTCAAATAATTTTCATATAATAATGTTTACCCATACTAATTTTGGCGGACACTTAACAATTCTGAGATTAAGGTGTACTGTTCCATGGTACACTGTAACAGTTCTAGGTTAATATGGACATATGAAAACTATTATTATTAGGGAATGCTTATGTTTGGATACAAGAAATGGGGACAGGGAAAAGTAAAAGAGGTAGTGACTCCCATATAGACAGACCTGTGCTTCACTCTTAGTTCCTAGATATTTTCTATAAACTCCATCACTATTTTAATGCACTTTTTCTTATTTGACAGTTGCAGAATCTAGAGTTTATTAATTTGAGAACATTTTCCAAAGTCAAATAAATAGTTAATGGTTCTGACAAACTGGGGCATGAAAAGCTATTTCTCCTGCAGAGCCATTGAAAGTGGGAGAGGAATGTTCTGAACTTACTGTGTCTCACCTCAATGTATGTTTTTCAATGTATGTCCTAAGACGAGTGAGGGGCTCCTTCAAGAATTTGGACTTTAATTTGAGCATAGCATTAAAATTTCTTGGTATGGCATGTTTCAGGGGAGATACCACAGGAGTAAGCCATTCTGCTTTTTTTGTTGGCTCACCTGGGGGGTGATAGGTGAGGACATTTTGAGACTTTTAAATGGTGGGTCATCAGTGATACTGAATAATCAAGATCATGTTTTTGTTTATTTGTCCCCTCTGTTGAAACTAGCACTTTGAAGATTTCTCATCCATGAATGTCTGTTGCCACAAATCTGCCCAGATACTGAGATTCCCTTACTAGCTTTCTACCCCAGAGAGCTGTCTGTGCCCCTGACTTTCCCAGACTTCTACCACTTGCTAAATGCTTGATTACCATCTGCACTACAGGGTGTCCCCTGTGGGTCCACTGAAGACAGAACAACTCTAACCTGGTAAAAGGAGCAAAATATTTTGTCTGTCCTCCACACTGAACTACACCTTCCATATTTTGCCCCTCTTGAGTATTGTTCCACACCCAAGACAACCATACAGAATTTTCACAGCCTGTTATCAACTTTTCTCATAGTCTAAAAATTAATTTTAATAGTACAGTCCCTGTTTAGACTAACATAAGGATCCTATCTACTGACTGGACACAGGGACACAGACTGAGGCACAAAGCTTTATTTGATGAGGCATTTGTGTATACATGGTGGTTGAATCAATAATAGCAGATAAGATTACTACTATGTGAAATGAAAAGAGAAAATGGAAGACAATGGAATCACAAGAGGACTAAAACTTAGAGAACAGCAAAGAACAATGTGTTGATGAAAAAGACACCACAGATCAGAGTCTGTCATCTTGGAAATAGGGCAGTAGTTTCAACAGCTGAGAGAAGGTGGGTCAATCTCAAATGTTTACAATAGATTTGTCATATGATCCAGCAATTCCACTTCTGGGGAACTACCTAAAGAGCACAAAGATACTAATTTGAAGGGCCATGTGGACTCCTAAGTTCACTGCAGCACTATTTACATTAGTCACATTATGCATGGATAAAGGTATGGTGTATCTCCACAATGGCTACTGCTCAGCTATAAAAGATGATGAAATCTATCCATGCCAAGCAACATGGTGGAAATGGTTGGGTAACTATACTTAATGCTCTTTGGAGGAGCGTACATCAGTTTAATTTTGGGAATACAACTATTAAAATAAGCTTGACTAATAACTTTGACTAACTTACCCACTGCTAATTGCTTCACATAGAGATCTCATTATTAGTCAATGCTGTCTGATAATGAAACTCTTCACTGCTCTGTTATATATCTTATGAATCCAAATAAACCAGAAAATATTATTTTTTATGCATTGAGGGAATCTTAATTTCAACACTGTATAATGTTAATCAAATATGGTTGATAGTGCCTCTCAGCCTTACATTTTTACTCCAAAATGTTCTGTTCTTGATACTCTTTGGTGTCAATGTTGCCTCACCTCAGCTGATATAGGAATATGATCTCCAAGTCATCCTAGTCAACCACATGTCTTACTACATAACTGAAGAACAGTAGAAGAAGCCTTTTAATATAATCTATCAAATTAAAAAAATAGCAGTTGAGAAAATAATTCATTTACTACTTCACAGTCTTGGGGGATGTAAGGCCATTCAACTGTGATCAAGTCAGGATCCCACTCCCAATATTTCAATCAAGTCTTCACCCTCAACATCAGCAAAGTACCTTTGCCATATAATTTAACTAAAGTAGCCTGATATATCAAGTATGACCCAAATATTGCATGAACACATTTAAGCTAAAAAGTTAAATTTTTAGTGAAATTTACATTTTCCATCTTACTTAACATGCCAAACCGTAAACATGTTATCACTGGCCACTGCTTCCTAATGCAAAAACAAAAATGTCCAGTTACGTATAACAATGTAATAGTATCACCATTTTCACATCAAGTTTCAGAGATCTGCTTTGTTCCTAACCAGTAATTGCAGAATACAGTGAAATTACAAAGGAATTTATAAATGGATTCTTTGTACCTCTCCCCATGAGTTTATAATTTTCCTATAAAACAAATGAACAAATCTAGTAGAGGGTGATCATGACTGGGGATAGGCACATCTGGTGATTGAGCACCCAATGAGGAAGCCAGTCCTTTTCAGATGTTATCAAATGTCAATGTCTGTTCCATCACTTTGTTTAACTATATCATACATATGCGTGAGATGATTCAGTATTGTTCTTTCCTTTTCTGACTAATTTCACTGAACACAATCTCAACCAGTTCCATCCATGCTATTGTAAGTCGAAAAACTTCATGTTTATAATCACTAGCTAGCATTCAAATATGTATATATGTGTTACATCTCTTAACACACTCATATGTTGCTGTGCACGTAGGTTGTTTTCCACACTGGATGATTTAAATAGTGCTGCAATGAACATAAGAGTGCATTGGATCCTCCCTATTTGTTTTTCCTCAACTTCTACACTGACTCTATCCAACCAATATTTTCACCATTTGAGTTTCCCATACCACATTACCCTGAGACATTTGTCTGTTTTTATGTTTATGTATCTGTTCATGAGTGTATATTTAGAAAGAAATAGACAAACCCAGGTTCATGAAACAAAAAAAGCTTAGGAATAACTACTTCCTTACAATGAATTAAGAATACAACACTCAACCAATAAAGATCCATTATTTTTGGAATGACATCATGGCAAATACCCATCAGTAAGTTCTGGGTGCTGCTCAATGGGCGTGGAGACAAGACACACAGTAGGAGTGCTCAAAGAGCTTACCTCTGCCAGGCTTCAAAAAGATCACATACAGGTAAGACAAAGTGTAAGCCAATGGCCACGTCTGTCACAATAGATAAACAAACTTGTTAGGAGCAAAGAATCATATTTATTGGGAAATGATCACAATACAGGTAATAGGCACAAGAAGTAGAGGGTTTCAACTTGCTCTGTGAGTTAACCTATGTCTTCTGCTTTCCAAGAAGATCATGAAAAACTCAGTAAAAGGAATGCCAAGAAGAGAATGACAATTCTTCAGGCTGAATCCTCTCTCTTCAGTTGATTCAGTTGTCATCATGAGACATGAAGAAGAAATTCCCTGGATTCATCAGTTTCAAAGATTTTCTGCATTCCAGCGATGTTTTAGCAACAGGAAGAATAGCAACTCCTATAAACAATTGGTCGGTAGCTACACCAGGAAGCCCCACATCCGGAACCATAGCCACAGCCATATCTGGAACCATAGCCACAGCCATATCTAGAACCGTAGCCACAGCCATATCCGGAACCATAGCCACAACTATATCCAGAACCATAGCCACAGCCATAGCGGGAGCCATAGCCACAGCCATATCCGGAACCGTAGCCACAGCCATAGCGGGAGCCATAGCCAAGGCCACAGCCATAGCCAAGGCCACAGCCATAGCTGCCATAGTAGTTTCCAAGGTAGTTGCAACACATGGTGTTAGGAGGTGAGGTTCGGTTGACCTGTAGGAAGATCTTTCTGAAGTCGAATATCAGCCACTCTTGCAGGACACTTATATACTCCAGCAATGGGCGGGTCAACCTCACATGGGCTCTGTTCTCATTTTACAACTATTTTCTTAAACGCGCTCAGTCTGTGTACACCAATCTTGTCAGGATGTCATATTACTTACTGCCATCCCAGGAATTTTTAACGGGTATTTCAAATATAAAGATCAATGTGCTAAACACCCAACCTTATATAACTCTAATTTTATTTCCACAATTGTTTTCATGGCTATGAAATAACACATCGACAAATACATTTGGTCTGTACAAGTGTTCATTATTTTGCTCTTTCACTGTCTTAGGAAGCAGCTATCAATACTAAGATCAAGGTTCTAATTGCTAGGAATAGCACCACCTCCACATCATCAATATCACCTTCATTATCATATCACAGTGTTTCCTTTTTTCCATTAATAAGTTTATACTCTAAAATATTTGCCATGGTTTGGACAAGGAATGGAGTACTTCAACACGCTACATTTATTCCCTGAAATAATCTCCTTGTCTAAAGAAAATTTTTCTAGCTCATCCTTTTCATCAGTTTACAATATTCCATAGTATCTTTAGTAATATATTTTTAGTAAACAGGTCTGACTACTTTCTAAACAATAATTAAGAATAGGGTGAGCGTAGAAAGGTATTTATAAATGGGTACCTTGCAAGGCAAGTCTCCTTATCAGGCTCTCATTTTGTAGTCATGGTCTCCACTAACATGTGTTCAATCAAAAATTAGTACCGAAGACATGAAATATTTTATTCTCTCTGGTTCTCAAATAATTTTCATATAATAATGTTTACCCATACTAATTTTGGCGGACACTTAACAATTCTGAGATTAATTAAGGTATACTGTTCCATGGTACACTGTAACAGTTCTAGGTTAATATGGACATATGAAAACTATTATTATTAGGGAATGCTTATGTTTGGATATAAGAAATGGGGACAGGGAAAAGAGGTAATGACTCCCATATATACAGACCTGTGCTTCACTCTTATTTCCTAGATATTTTCTATAAACTCCATCACTATTTTAATGCACTTATTCTTACTGACAGTTGCAGAATCTACAGTTTATGAATTTGAGAACATTTTCCATAGTCAAATAAATAGTTAATGGTTCTGACAAACTGGGCCATGAAAAGCTATTTCTCCTGCAGAGCCATTGAAAGTGGGAGAGGAATGTTCTGAACTTACTGTATTTCACCTCAATGTATGTTTTTCGATGTATGTCCTAAGACAAGTGAGGGGCTCCTTCAAGAATTTGGACTTTAATCTGAGCATGGCATTAAAATTTCTTGGTATGGCATGTTTCAGGGGAGAGACTGCAGGAGTAAGCCATTCTGTATTTTTTGTTGGCTCACCTGGGGGGTGATAGGTGAGGACATTTTGAGACTTTTAAACGGTGGGTCATCAGTGATACTGGAGAATCAAGATCATGTTTTGTTTATCTGTCCCCTCTGTTGAAACTAGCACTTTGAAGATTTCTCATCCATGAGTATCTATAGCCACAAACATGCCCAGACACTCAGATTCCCTTACTAGCTTTCTACCCCAGAGAGCTGTCTGTGCCCCTGACCTTCCCAGGACTTCTACCACTTGCTAAATGCTTGATTACCATCTAGCTACACAGGGTGTCCCCTGCGGGTCCATTGAAGACAGAACAACTCTAACCTGGTAAAAGGAGCAAAATATTTTGTCTGTCCTCCACACTGAACTACCCCTTCCATATTTTGCCCCTCTTGAGTATTGTTCCACACCCAAGACAACCATACAGAATTTTCACAGCCTGTTATCAACTTTTCTTATAGTTTAAAAATTAATTTTCATAGCACAGTCCCTGTTTAGACTAAAATCAGGTTTCTATCTACTGACTGGACACAGGGACACAGACTGAGGCACACAGCTTTATTTTGATGAGGCATTTGTGTATACATGGTAGTTGAATCAATACAGCAGATAAGATTACTACTATGTGAAATGAAAAGAGAAAATGGAAGACAATGGAATCACAAGAGGACTAAAACTTAGAGAACAGCAAAGAACAATGTGTTGATGAAAAAGACACCACGGATCAGTGTCTGTTCATCTTGGAATTACGGCAGTAGTTGACAACAGCTGAGAGAAGGTGGATCAATCTCAAATATTTACAATATATTTGTCATATGATCCAGCAATTCCACTTCTAGGGAACTACCTAAAGAGTACAAAGACATTAATTTGAAGGGCCATGTGGACTCCTAAGTTCACTGCAGCACTATTTACATTAGTCACATTATGCATGGATAAAGGTGTGGTATATCTCCACAATGGCTATTGCTCAGCTATAAAAGATGATGAAATCTATCCATGCCTAGCTACATGGTGGAAATGATTGGGTGACTATACATAATGCTCTTTGGAGGAGCGTACATCAGTTTAATTTTGGGAATACAACTATTAAAATAAGCTTGACTAATAACTTTGACTAACTTACCCACTGCTAATTGCTTCACATAGAGATCTCATTATTAGTCAATGCTGTCTGATAATGAAACTCCTCACCGCTCTGTTATACATCTTATGAATCCAAATTAAACCAGAAAATAATATTTTTTATGCATTGAGGGAATCTTAATTTCAACACTGTATAATGTTAATCAAATATGGTTGATAGTGCCTCTCAGCCTTACATTTTTACTCCAAAATGTTCTGTTCTTGATACTCTTTGGTGTCAATGTTGCCTCACCTCAGCTGATATAGGAATATGATCTCCAAGTCATCCTAGTCAACCACATGTCTTACTACATAACTGAAGAACAGTAGAAGAAGCCTTTTAATATAATCTATCAAATTAAAAAAATAGCAGTTGAGAAAATAATTCATTTACTACTTCACAGTCTTGGGGGATGTAAGGCCATTCAACTGTGATCAAGTCAGGATCCCACTCCCAATATTTCAATCAAGTCTTCACCCTCAACATCAGCAAAGTGCCTTTGCCATATAATTTAACTAAAGTAGCCTGATATATCAAGTATGACCCAAATATTGCATGAACACATTTAAGCTAAAAAGTTAAATTTTTAGTGAAATTTACCTTTTTCATCTTACTTAACATGCCAAACCATAAACATGTTATCACTGGCCACTGCTTCCTGATGCAGAAACAAAAATGTCCAGTTACATATAACAATGTAATAGTATCACCATTTTCACATAAGGCTTCAGAGATCCGCTTTGTTCCTAACCAGTAATTGCAGAATACAGTGAGATTACAAAGGTATTTATAAATGGATTCTTTGTACCTCTCCCCATGAGTTTATAATTTTCCTATAAAACAAATGAACAAATCTAGTAGAGGGTGATCATGACTGGGGATAGGCACATCTGGTGATTGAGCACCCAATGAGGAAGCCAGTCCTTTTCAGATGTTATCAAATGTCAATGTCTGTTCCTTCGTTTTGTTTAACTATATCATACATATGCGTGAGATGATTCAGTATTGTTCTTTCCTTTTCTGACTAATTTCACTGAACACAATCTCAACCAGTTCCATCCATGCTATTGTAAGTCGAAAAACTTCATGTTTATAATCACTAACTAGCATTCAAATATGTATATATGTGTTACATCTCTTAACACACTCATATGTTGCTGTGCACGTAGGTTGTTTTCCACACTGGATGATTTAAATAGTGCTGCAATGAACATAAGAGTGCATTGGACCCTCCCTATTTGTTTTTCCTCAACTTTTACACTGACTCTATCCAACCAATATTTTCACCATTTGAGTTTCCCATACCACATTACCCTGAGACATTTGTCTGTTTTTATGTTTATGTATCTGTTCATGAGTGTATATTTAGAAAGAAATAGACAAACCCAGGTTCATGAAACAAAAAAAGCTTAGGAATAACTACTTCCTTGCAATGAATTAAGAATACAACACTCAACCAATAAAGACCCATTTTTTTCAGAATGACATCATGGCAAATACCCATCAGTAAGTTCTGGGTGCTGCTCAATGGGAGTGGAGACAAGACACACAGTTGGAGTGCCCAAAGAGATTACCTCTGCCAGGCTTCAAAAAGATCACATACAGGTAAGACAAAGTGTAAGCCAATGGCCACGTCTGTCACAATAGATACACAAACTTGTTAGCAGCAAAGAATCATGTTTATTTGGAAATGATCACAATACAAGTAATAGGCACAAGAAGTAGAGGGTTTCAACTTGCTCTGTGAGTTAACCTATGTCTTCTGCTTTCCAAGAAGATCATGAAAAACTCAGTAAAAGGAATGCCAAGAAGAGAATGACAATTCTTCAGGCTGAATCCTCTCTCTTCAGTTGATTCAGTAGTCATCATGAGTCAGTGAAGAAGAAATTCCATGGATTGATCAGTTTCGAAGATTTCCTGCATTCCAGCGATCTTTTAGCAACAGGAAGAATAGCAACTCCTGTAAACAATTGGTCGGTAGCTACACCAGGAAGCCCCACATCCGGAACCATAGCCGCAGCCATATCCAGAACCATAGCCACAGCCATATCTGGAACCATAGCCACAGCCATATCCAGAGCCATAGCCACAGCCATATCCGGAACCGTAGCCACAGCCATAGAGGGAGCCATATCCAGAACCGTATCCACAGCCATAGCGGGAGCCATAGCCACAGCCATATCCGGAACCGTAGCCACAGCCATAGCGGGAGCCATAGCCAAGGCCACAGCCATAGCCAAGGCCACAGCCATAGCTACCATAGTAGTTTCCAAGGTAGTTGCAACACATGGTGTTAGGAGGTGAGGTTCGGTTGACCTGTAGGAAGATCTTTCTGAAGTCGAATATCAGCCACTCTTGCAGGACACTTATATACTCCAGCAATGGGCGGGTCAACCTCACATGGGCTCTGTTCTCATTTTACAACTATTTTCTTAAACGCGCTCAGTCTGTGTACACCAATCTTGTCAGGATGTCATATTACTTACTGCCATCCCAGGAATTTTGTAATGGGTATTTCACGAATAAAGATATATGTGCTAAACACCCTACCTTATATAACCTTAATTTTACTTCCATAATTGTTTTCATGGCTATGACATAACACATCAACAAATATGTTTGGCCTGTAAATGTGTTTATTGTTTTGCACTTTGATTTTCTTAAATAGCAACTATCAATATTGAGCTCAAGGTTCTACTGATTGCTATTAATATCTCCCCCTCCACATCATCAATATCACCTTCATTATCATATCATATTGTTTTCCTTTTTTCCATTAATAAGGTAAACACTGTGAAGTACTAGCCATGGTTTGACAAGTAATTGAGTTTTTCAACATGCTACATTTAGTCCCTGAAATAATTTCCTTGTCTCTGAAGAAAGTTTGTCTACCTCATTCTTTTCATCAGTTCATAATATTGTGTAATATCTTTAGTTCAATATATTTAGTGAACATTCTTATGTTTAGTGAACATAATAAACTAATCAATGATGTACTATAAATAACTAAGAATAAATGAAAAACTTTTCTAAGATTTTGCCTTTGAAATCTCAAAGTCTTGGGGGATGTAAGTATCCAAATGGGATCTCAAGTCAGGATCCCACTCACAATATTTCAATTAAGACTTCACCCTCAACATTAGCAAAATACTGCATATATATAACTAGAGTAGCCTGAATTAGCAAGTATTACCCCAATATTGCATGAACACAATTAAACTAAAGTTAAATTTCTAGGAAAATTCACATTTTTCCATCTACTTAACTTGCCAAACCTTAAGCATTTTATCACTGGCCAATGCTTCCAGATGCAGACACAAAAAATATTCCACGTATGTATTTTAATGTACCAGTATCACCATTTTCACATAAGGCTTCAGAGGTCACGTTTGTTCCTAACCAATAATTGCAGAATAGGGTGTGATTACAAAGGTATTTATAAATGGACTCCTTATACCTGTCCTCATGAATTTATAATTTTCCTATAAACAACGCTAGTAGAGAGTAATCATGACTAGGTGTAGGCACATCAGGTAGTAGAGCACCTAATGAGGAAGTCAGTCCATTTCAGATGTGTTCAGATGTCAGTGACTGTTCCTTTGCTTTGTTTAACTATATCATACATACGCATGAGATCATTCGGTATTGTTCTTTCCATTTCTGACTTATTTCACTGAACACAATCTCTGCCAGTTCCATTCATTTTGTCGTAAGTAGAAAAACCTCACGTTTATAATCACTAGCTAGCATTCAATTGTGTATGTATGTGTTACATCTTGTTAAAACACTCATGTGTTGCTGGACATGTAGACTGTTTTCCACTCTGGCTGATTTAAATAGTGCTGCAATGAATATAAGAATGCATTGAACCCTTCCTATTAGTTTTTCCTCTAATTTTATACTCACTCTATCCAATCAATATTTTTACCATTAGAATTTTCCATACCAGATTACCCTGAGATATTAGTCTGTGTTTACATGTGTATGCATCTTTGATGAGTGTACATGGAGAAAGAAATAGACCCAGAATCATGAAACAAAAAAGCTTAGGAATCATTACTTCCTTACAATATTAAGAACACTATACTCAACCAATAAAGACCCTTATTTTTGTGAATGATATATTGGCAAATATACTTCAGTAAGTTGTGTGTGCTGAGCAATGAGAGTGGAGACCAGACACATTTGAAATGACCACTGAGATTAGCTCTGCCAGATTCTAAGATCATAGACAGGTAAGATAAATTGTAAGTCAATGGCCACGTCTGTCACAACAGAGACACAAACTTGTTAGGAGCAAAGAATCATGTTTATTTGGAAATGATCACAATACAGGTAATAGGCAGAAGAAGTAGAGGGCTTCAACTTGCTCTGTGAGTTAAACCATGTCTTCTGCTTTCCAAGAAGATCATGAAGTAACTAACTAACAAGCTGGAATGCCAAGAGAATGATGACTCTTCTTCAGGCTGAATCCTCACTCTTCATTTGATTTAAGTTGTGATCATGAGTCAGTGAAAAAGAAATTCTTGGATTGATCAGTTTAGAAGATTTTCTGCATTCCAGTGATGTTTTAGCAGCAGGAAGAATAGCAACTCCTGTAAACAATTGGGCGGTAGCTATAGCAGGAAGAGCCATATCCGGAACCGTAACCACAGCCATATCCAGAACCATAGCCACAGCCATATCTGGAACCAAAGCCACAGCCATATCCGGAACCGTAACCACAGCCATATCTGGAACCATAGCCACAGCCATATCCAGAGCCATAGCCACAGCCATATCCAGAGCCATAGCCACAGCCATATCCGGAACCATAGCCACAGCCATAGCGGGAGCCATAGCCACAGCCATAGCCATAGCCCAGGCCACAGCCATAGCTCCCATAGGAGTTTCCAAAGTAGTTGCAACACATGGTGTTAGGAGGTGAAGTTTTGGTTGACCTGTAGAAGGATATTCTGAAGTCGAGTATCAGCTACTCTTGCAGGAGACTTATATACTCCAGCAATGGGCGGGTCAACCTCACATGGGCTCTGTTCTCATTATACAACTATTTTCTAATTGAGCTTATTCTGTGTACACCGATCTTGTCAAGATGTCACATTACTTATTGCCATCCTAGGAATTTTCTACTGGCTATTTTAAACATAAAGATCAATGTGCTAAACACCCATCCTTATAAAACCCTAATTTTACTTCCACAATTCTTTCATGGCTATGAAATAATGCATCAACAAATACATTTGGCCTGTATATGTGTTTACTATTTCGCTCTTTTATTGTCTTAGATAGCAGCTATCCCTACTGACCCCCAGGTTCTACTGATTGGTATTAATATCCTCCCCTTCTAGAGCATCAATATCTCCTCATTATCATATATTGTTTTCCTTTTTTCATTAATAAGGTAAACACTGTAAAGTAGTTGCCATGGTTTGGACAAGGAATTGACTATTTCAACAGGCTACATACATTTAGTCACTGAAATAATCTCCTTGTCTGAATAAATTTTGTCTATCTCATCCTTTTCATCAGTTTATAATATTCTATAATATCTTTAGTTCAAAAATTTTTTAGTTAGCCTCTGCATAAGAAACTAATCCATGACATACTATAAATAACAATAAATGAAACACTTTTCTAGATTTCAACTTTGAGTGAGAAAAATGCTTTGGTTTAAGAATGTCTGTGTTCAAGTCCAAATTTTCAATGCAAGTCTCCTTATAAGGTTTTTTGTTATGTAGTCACGGTCTCCATTAACATGTGTTCAATCAAAAGTTAATACTCACAGACTTGAAATATACTATTCTCGCTGGTTCTCAAACAAATAATATTCAAAAATGATATTTACCCATATTTGCTGGATACTTTACAATTATGACATTATAGTTTACTCTTCCATGGTCTTTATTTTTGTCCCTACATTCTACATTTATTTTGCAATTTTGCAAAACTATTTTTATTTATGTGATTGCTTTACAGCAATGTGATTGATTTAGGATAGGTGTACACCACTAAAAAACATATTACCCTATCACACCTACCACCAAAGTCCCAATCATTTTCAGTATACAGTTTGGACTCTCCTATTTCCAGTTCGACAGTCAGATTTCTAGGATTTGTTTAATTTGCTTCTTCTTTTCCTGTTCCTCTGCTTTGTTTTTTTTATTTTCCATATAGGAGAGGAATGTCCCGTATTTGCCTTTCTCTTTCTGACTTATTTTGCTGTTTGTTTGTTCGTTTGTTTGTTTCAGCAGTGGGTACAGTCAGAAGCGCGGGAGGGTGAGAGAATTCACCAGAGCCAGAGCGGGGAGCAGAGCAGGCAGAAGGACCCAAGTACACTGCTGAGGGGAGCAGCGGGCGGCAGGAGAGGTCTGCGTGCCATGTGGGACCCTCCTCCGGTGGCCAGAGAGCAGCCGGGGATCGAACTGGCGCTGCAGAGGCTGCGGGCAGCTTCACAACCCAGCGCTCAACCACTGCACCACTGGGGAGGCCCTATTTTGCTTATTTTACATTAAAGTAGGTCTTACCATTTTAATACAAAAAAGCATCAGTCTGAATTAATATAAATATTTGAAAAATGTTATTATTTGGGAATGCAGATGTTTGGATATATGAAAGGAGGAAAAGTAAAAGGTAGTGACTCCCCCTATAGCCTAGGTGTGCTTCAATCTTTCGGTTCCTATATATTTCCTATTAACTCCATCACTTTTTTAATGCACTTATTCTTATTTAGCTGTTGCAGAATCTAGAGTTTATAAAATTGAGAACATTTACCATAGTCAAATAATTAGTAAATAGTTCTGACAAACTTGGCTATGAAAATCTTTTTCTCTTACAGAGCCACTGAAACTCAGGGAGGACAGTTCTAAACTTACTATGTCTCATCTCCTAATATTTTCAATGTATGTTCTATGACAAGTAATGGGCTCCTGCAGGATTTTGCATTCTAATCTGAGCATGGCATTAAGCTTTCTTGGTATAGAGTGTTGCAGGTGAGAAACTGCAAGAGAAGACAGTTCTGAATTTTTTGTTTTCTCTCCAGGGGGACGGTACTTGAGGACATTTTGAGTATTTTAAGTGGTGAGTCATCAGTGATGTTGGTGTCTCAAGATCATGTTTATTTTGTCACCCTCTGTTGAAACTAGCACCTTGAAGATTTCTCATCCATGAATGTCTACAGCCCCAAATCCGCCCAGACACTCTGATTCCCTTACTAGCTTTCCTCCCCCAGAGAGCTTAGAGTCCCTGAGCTTCCTAGAACTTCTAAACTTGCTAAATACTTGATTACCATCTGCACCACAGAGAGTGTCTCCTGCTGGTCCACTGACTAGAGAACAATCTAGCCTGGCCAAAGAAGTGAAATATTTTGGCTACCCAGGATGTCGAACAGCTCCCTCCATGTTTTGCCTTTGTTGAGTATTATTCCACATCCTAGAAAACCACACAGAATTTTCACAACCTATAATTAACTTTCATTCTGGTTTAAAAATTAATTCAAATAGCGCAGTCCCTGTTTAACTAATGTGGTTCCTATCTACTGACTAGACACAGATTGGGGCAGAGAGATTTATTTTTGAGTCATTTGTGTCTACGTGGTAGTTGAATCATAAAGGAGATAAAATTACTACTATGTGAAATGGAAAGAATAAATGGAAGATAATATAATCATAAGAGGACTAAAACTGAGAGAAAAGCAAACTCTCTAAGAAAACTTTTTCTCTAAGAAAACTTAGAGAAAAGCAAAGAAGGATTTGTCTATGAAATCCATGGATCAGAGTTTGTTCATCTTGGGAATATGGTAACAGTTGACAACAATTTATAAGGAGGTGGGTCACTCTCAAAATATTAACAATAGATTTATCATATGATCCAGCAATTCCACTCCTACGTGACTACCTGAAGAGTACAAAGACACTAATTTGACAGGCCATGTGCACTCCTATGTTCACGGCAACACTATTTACATTAGTCAGTTTATGGAAAGGACCCAACAGCCCAAATACAGATGCATGGATACAGACGTGGTGTTATCTCCACAATAACTACCACTCAGCTATGAGATGAGAAAATCTATCCTTGCACAGCATCATGGATGGAACTGAGTGGGTGATAATACAAAATGATCTTTGGGGGAGCATATTTAGGAATATAACTATTAAAATTACAACAATTAAGCTCAACTAACCAATAATTTCAGCATAGAGTGAGAATGAAAAGTATTTACAAATGGATTCATTGTACCTCTCCCCATGAGTTCATAATTTTCCTGTAAAATAACCCTAGTATAGGGTAATCATGACGGGGTATGGATGCATCTTATGGTAGAGCACCCAATGAGGAAGGCAGTCCTTTTCAGATATATTCAGAAGTCTGTTCCATTGTTTTGTTTTATTATACTACACATACGACAGTGATCACTCATTATTGTTCTTTCCCTTTCTGACTTACTTCAATGAACACAATCTCTGCCAGTTCCATTCATGTTATTGTAAGTAGAAAAATTAATGTTTATAAATACTAGCTAGCATTCAATTCTCTCTCTCTCTCTCTCTATATATATATATATATATATATGTGTGTGTGTGTGTGTGTGTGTGTGTGTTACATCTTTTAAACACACTCATCTGTTGTTAGGCACGTTGATTGTTTTCCACAATGGCTATTTAAACAGTGCTGCTATTAAATATAAGAGTACACTGGATCCTTCCTATTTCTTTTTCCTCAACTTTTACACTGACTCTATTCAATCAATATTTCCACGATGAGAATTTCCCATACCAGATTACCCTGAGACATTGTCTGTGTTCATATGTGTATGCATCTGTTGATGAGTGTACACATAGAAAGAAATAGACCCAGAATCATGAAACAAAAAAGGCTTAGGAATTAATAATACTTCCCACAATGAATAAAGAACACTAGACTTAACCAATAGAGACCCATTTTTTCAAAATGATATCATGGCAAATATCCTTCAGTAAGTCTCAGTGCTGAACAATGACTGGAGACCAGACACACAGTTGGAATGACCACTGAGATTAGTTCTGCCAGGCTCCAAGAAGGCCAAAGACACCTAAGACAAAGTGTAAGTCAATGGCCATGTCTGACACAATAGATACACAAAATTGTTAGGAGCAAATAATCATGTTTATTTGGAAATGATCACAATATAGAAATAGACACAAGAAGTTAGAGGGATTCGATTTCTCTATGAGTTAAACCATGTCTTCGGCTTTCCAAAAAGATCATGAAGTGACTTAGTTTCCCTCAGTAACAAGATGGACTCCAAGAGGACAATGACTGTTTTTCAGGTTCTGAATATTCTCTCTTCAGTGGATTCAGCTGTGATCATGAGTAGTGAGGAAGAAATTCCTTAGAGCCATCAGTTTAGAAGATTTTGCGCATTCAGGTATGTTTTAGCAGCAAGATGAATAGCATCTTCTGTAGACAAATGGCTGGTAGCTGTAGCAGGAAGAGCCATATCCAGAACCATAGCCACAGCCATATCCGGAACCATAGCCACAGCCATATCTGGAACCGTAGCCACAGCCATATCCAGAACCATAGCCGCAGCCATATCCGGAACCATAGCCACAGCCATAGCGGGAGCCATAGCCACAGCCATAGCCATAGCCAAGGCCACAGCCATATCCAGATCCGTAGCCACAGCCATATCTAGAACCATAGCCACAGCCATAGCCAAGGCCACAGCCGTAGCTCCCATAGGAGTTTCCAAAGTAGTTGCAATACATGGTGTTTGGAGGTGAAGTTTCAATTGTCCTGTAGGAGGATATTCTGAAGTTGAGTATCAGCTACTGTTGCAGGACACTTATATACTCCCAGCAGTGGGTGGGGCAACCTCACATGGGCTAAGTTCTCATTATACAACTATTTTCAAAAGTGAGCTCATTCTGTGTACAGCAATCGTGTCAGGATACCACATTGTTACTGCCATCCTGGGAATTTTCTACTGGCTATTTTAAACCTAAAGATATATGTGCTAAACCCCCAAGCTTATATTTGTTGATGTGTTATTTCACAGCCATGAAAGAAATGTGGAAGTAAAATTAGAGTTATATGTTTGGCCTGTATATGTGTTTACATATGTACCACATCTCTTTTGCTCTTTCATTGTCTTAGAAAGCAGCTATCAATATTGAGCTCAAGCTTCTACTGATTGCTATTAAAATCTTCCCCTCCACGTTATCAAAATCACCTTCATTATCATATCACATTGTTTTCCTTTTTCCATTAATAAGGTAAATACTGTAAAGTAGTTGCCATGGTTTGGACAAGGAGTTGAGTATTTCAACATGCTACATTTTTGTCCCTGAAATAATCTTGTCTGTGAAGAAAAGTTGTCTATCTCATCCTTTTCGTCAGTTTATAATATTCTATATCTTTAGTTCAAATTTTTTTAGTGAACACTGGATAAGAAACTAATCATTGACATACTACAAATAACAATAAGTGAAAAATTTTTAAGATTTCACCTTGAGTGAGGAAAATGCTTTGGTTAAAGAATGTCTGTGTTCAAGTCCAAATTTTCAATGCAAGTCTCTTTATAAGGTTTCTCATGATATAGTCATGATCTCCACTAACATGTGTTCAATCCAAAATTAGTGCTCACAGACTAAATATTTAATTCTTACTTGTCCTCAAACAAATGATATTTGAATAATGATATTTACCCATACTACTTTTGCTGGATACTTTACAATTATGACATTAAATATAATGTACTCTTCCATGGTATTTCTTTTTCCCCACATTTATCTTACCATTTTTAAAAACTGTTTTTATTTATGTGCATTGATTTAGAGCACTGTAATTCATTTAGGATAGGGTATAAGCATCTACAAATATGTTACCATAGCACACCCAACACCAAAGTCCCAGTAATTTTCAGTATACAGCTTTGACTCTTCCATCTCCAGTTCTACAGTCAGATTTCTAGGGTTTGTTTTGTTTGCTTCTTTTTTTCCTCTTCCTTTGCTTTGCTTTTTATTTTCCACATAGAAGTATCCTTTATTTGCCTTTCTGTTTCTGACTTATTTTGCTAATTTTACACTATGGAGAGCTGTGTGGAGATTTCTGGACCTACTAAACATAGAGCTCCCATAGGATCCAGCAATTCCACTCCTAGGTATTTACCAAAGGACACAGAAACATCAATTCCAAAGAGCACCTGCACCCCTATGTTTATAGCAGCACTGTTTACAATAGCTAAGCTTTGGAAACAACCCAAATACCCAAAAATAGATGACTGGATCAAGAAGATGGGTACATATACAACATGGAATATTACTCAGCCATCAAAAAAGATAAACTCATGCAATTTGCAGCAGCATGGATGGAGCTGGAAGGGATCATGCTCAGCAAAATAAGCCAGAAAGAAAAAGAAAAATACCGGATGGTCTCACAGATAGCAGGAATCTAGAAAACTTAAATAAGGGACCAGGAAAATGAATAACTATAAGAAAGAAAATATCAAAATCAACAAACAACTATGAACCAGAGACACTCTATGGGAGGGGCGCGGGGAAAGGAAGGATTGGGGTCAAAATAAGGGGGTTGTAATTGTATGGGGAATATAAAAATAAAATTTAAATAAAAAAATAAAGTAAGTCTTAACATTTTAATACAAAAAAAGCATCAATCTCAGTTAATACAGATATTTGAAAACTGTTATTATTTGGGAATGCTTATGTTTGGATATAAGAAAAGGGGAAAAGTAAAAGAAGGTAGTGATTCCCCATATAGCAAGATTTGCTGTTCAATCTTTGAGAGACGATATATTTACTATAAACTCCATTATTTTTTAATGCACTTATTCTTATTTGGCATTGCAGAATCTAAAGTTTATAAATTTGAGAACACATCCCATAGTCAAACAATTAGTAAATGTCTGACAAACTTGGCCATGCAAAGCTGTTTTTCCTACAGAGTCCTAAAACTGGGAGGTGAATGTCCAGAATTTACTGCCTCTCATCTCCTAATATGTTCAAAATATGCTCTGTGACAAGTGATGGGCTCCTTCATGATTGACACTTTAATCTGAGCATGGCATTAAGCTTTCTTTGCATGGAGTGTAGCAGAGGAGAAGCGGCAAGAGAAAGCAGTTGTGCATTTTTGTTTGCTCTCCAGGGGGAACAGTATATGAGGACATTTCGAGACTCTTAAGTGGTGGGTCATTAGTGATGTTGGAGTCTCAAGATCATGTTTTTGTTTATGTGTCCCCCACTGTTGAAACTAGCACCTTGAAGATTTCTCATCCATGAGTCTCTGTAGCCACAAACCTGCCCAGACACTCAGATTCCCTTACTAGCTTTCCTCCCCCAGAGAGCTGCCAGAGCCCCTGAACACCCAGAACTTCGACCACTTGCTAAATGCTTGATTATCATCTGCACTACAGAGGGTGTCTCCTGTGGGTCCACTGAGTACCAAACAATTCTAGCCTGCACAAAGGAGTGAATTTTTTTGCTATCAAGAATGTAGAACTGCCCCTTCCTTGTTTTGCCATTCTTGAGTATTACAGTTCCACACCCTAGACAACCTACAGAAATTTCATGCCCTATAAACAACTTTTAATTATAGATCAAAATTTAATTTTAATAGCACATTCCATATTTAACCTAATGTGAGGTTCCTATCTACTGACTGGACACAGACAGAGGCAGAGAGCTTTTGTTTTGTTAGCCATAGTGTGTATGTTTTTGTTGTATCAATGAAAGCAGATAATATTTACCCCTATGTGAAATGAAAAGAAAAAATTGGAAGATAATGCAATCACAAGAGGACTAAAACTTAGAGAAAGGCAAAGAAATATTTCTTAATGAAACAGACATCATATATCAGAGTCTGTTCATCTGGAAACTACTAGAATAGATGACCACAAGCTAAAAGGAGGTGCGTTAGTCTCTAAACATTAATAATAGATTTGCCATAGGTTCCAGCAATTCCACGCCTAGGTAACTACCTGAAGAGTACAAAGACACTAATTTGAAGGGCATGTGCAGTCCTATGTTGACTGCAGCACTATTTACATTAGTCACTTTATGGAAAGGACCCAAGTGCCCAAGTACAGATGCATGGAGAAAGGTGTGGTATATCTCCACAATGGCTACTACTCAGCTATTAAGAGAAAATCTATCCATACACAGCAACATGGATGGAACTGGTTAGGTGAAACTGGCTGGATGATACTACATAATACTCTTTGGAGGAGTGTTGTTAGTTTAAATTTGGGAATACAACTATTAAAATAAGCTTGACTATTAACTTTGCCTAACTTGTCAATTACTAATGACTTCGTAGGAGATGGCATAATAAATCAATGTTGCCTTATATAGAAACTCCCCACTGCTCTGTTACACATCTTATGAATCCAAATAAACCTGAAAATAGTATTTTTTATCCATTGAGGGAACCTTAATTTCAACACTGAATAAGGTTTATCAAGTTGATAAAGGTTTATCAAGTTTATCAGGTTGATAGTGCCTGTCACCCTCCAACTTTTTCTCTGAATGTTCTGGTGTCAATGTCTCTTCACCTCAGCTGACATGAAAATATGATCTCCAAGTCATCCTAGTTAATCACATGTCTTACTATATAACTAAATAACAGTAGAAAGAGCCTGTTAAAATTACCAAATTAAAGAGTATAGCAGCTCAGGAATTAAATCATTTATTATGAATTATTGATCTTGGGGGATGTAAGTCCATTTGACTGGAATCTCAAGTCAAGATCTCACTCCTAGCATTGCAATTACATCTTCCCCCATGACATCAGCAAAATATGTTTGCCATATAATTTAACTAGAGTAGCCTGATTTAGCTAGTATGACCCAAAAATTGGATGACAAAATTAAGGTAAAAAGTTAAATTTTTAGTAAAATTTACATTCTTCCATCTTATTTAACCCTACAAGCCTTAAACATGTTATCACTGGCCACTGCTTCCAGATACAGAAGCAAAACAAGTTCCAGTTACGTATTTTCATGGGATCAGTATCATCATTTTCACATCAGGCAACAGAGGTTATATTTGTTCCTAACTAATAATTTTAATAGGGTGAGAATAGAGATGCATTTATAAATGAATTCATTGTACCTCTCCCCATGAGTTTATAATTTTCCTATAAAGTAACCCTAGCACAGGGTGATCATGGCTGGGTATAGGCGCATCTGGTGGTAGAGCATCCAATGAGGAAGCCAGTCCATTTCAGATGTGTTCAGATTTCAGTGTCTGTTCTTTTGTTTTATTTTATTACATTACACATACGAGTGAGATCATTCAGTATTGTTCTTTCCCTTTCTAACTTATTTCACTGAACACAAAAACCACTAGTGCCATTCATGTTGTGCAAGTGAAAAATTGTATAATCTCTAGCTAGCATTCAAATATGTACATATGTGTTACATCTTCATAACACACTTACGTGTTATTGGACACATAGGTTGTTTTCCACACTGGCTGATTTATATAGTACTGCAAAGAACACAGGAGTGCGTTGAACCTTCCATATTTGTCTTTCCTCAATTTTTACACTGGCTCTCTTAACCAATTTTTTCACCATTAGAATTTCCCATACCAGATTACCCTGAGATATTGGTCTGTTTATAGGTGTATGCATTTATTAATGAGTGTACATACAGAAAAAAATAGACCCAGAATCATGAAACACAAAGCTTGGGAATAAATTCTCCCTTGCAAATTCATTCCTTAACCAATGAACCCAGTTTTTTCCAGTATGATGTATTGGCAAAAATACTTCAGTAGTCGTGTGTGCTGAGCAATGAGAGTGGAGACAAGACACTTTTGGAATGACCACTGAGATTAGCTCTACCAGATACCAAGATCACAGACAGGTAAGATAAAGTGTAAGTCAATGGCATGTCTGACACAATAGAGACACAGACTTGTTAGGAGCAAAGAATCATGTTTATTTGGAAATGATCACAATACAGGTAATAGGCACAAGATGTAGAGGGTTTTAACTCGCTCTGTGAGTTAAACCATGTCTTCTGCTTTCCAAGAAGATCATGAAGTAACTCACTAACAAGCTGGAATGCCAAGAGGACAATGATTCTTCTTCAGGCTAAATCCTCTCTCTTCAGTTGATTCAGTTGTGATCATGTCAGTGAAGAAGAAATTCCTTGGATTGATCAGTTTAGAAGATTTTCTGCATCCCAGTGATGTTTTAGCAGCAGGAAGAATAGCATCTCCTGTAAACAACTGGGCGGTAGCTATAGCAGGAAGAGCCATATCCAGAACCATAGCCGCAGCCATAGCGGGAGCCATAGCCACAGCCATAGCCATAGCCAAGGCCACAGCCATATCTGGAACCATAGCCACAGCCATATCCGGAACCATAGCCACAGCCATAGCGGGAGCCATAGCCACAGCCATAGCCATAGCCAAGGCCACAGCCATATCTGGAACCATAGCCACAGCCATATCCGGAACCATAACCACAGCCATAGCGGGAGCCATAGCCACAGCCATAGCCATAGCCCAGGCCACAGCCGTAGCTCCCACAGGAGTTTCCAAAGTAGTTGCAGTACATGGTGTTAGGAGGTGAAGTTTCAGTTGTCCTGTAGGAGGATATTCTGAAGTCGAGTATCAGCTACTCTTGCAGGGCACTTATATACTCCCAGGAATGGGCGGGTCAACCTCATATGGGCTAAGTTCACATTTTACAACTATTTTCAAAAGTGAGCTCATTCTGTGTACAACAATCTTGTCAGGATGTCACATTACTTACTGCCATCCTAGGAATTTTCTAATGGCTATTTTAAACTTAAAGATATATGTGCTAAACACCCAAGCTTATATAACCCTAATTTGACTTCCATAACCATAATTGTCTTTCATGGCTATGACATAACACATTCAACAAATATGTTTGGCCTGTGTGTGTGTGTGTGTGTGTGTGTTTACTATTTTGCTCTTTCATTGTCTTAGGAGCAACTATCAATATTGAACACAAAGTTCTACTGATTGTCAATAACATACTCCACTTCTGCATCATCAGTATCACCTCATATCATATTGTTTTCCTTTTTCCATTAATAAGGTAAATACCGTGAAGTACTTTTCATGGATTTTGAAGAGTAACTTTTTTTTTAAAGATTTATTTATTTATACAAGCACTGGGTACAGTCAGAAGTGTGGGTGGGTGAGAGAATTCACCAGAGCCAGAGAGGAGAGCAGAGCAGGCAGAAGGACCGAAGTACACTGCTGAGGGGAACTGCGGGCGGCAGGAGAGGTCTGTGCGCCATGTGGGACTCTCGCCCAGTGGCCAGGGATTGAACCGGCGCTGCAGGCAGCTTCGCAACCCAGCGCTCAACTGCTGCACCACCGGGGAGGCCCACTTTTCATGGATTTTGGACAAGGAATTGAGTATGTCACCACACTACATTTAGTCCCTGAAATAATCTCCTCTCTGAAGGTAAGTTTGTCTAATCATTTTCCATCAGTTCATGATGTTCTATTTTTTCTTTAGGGCAAAATTTTTCAGTTAACACTGGATAGTAAGTAATCTATGGCATACTATAACTAATTTAACCAAAAAATTAAAAACTTTTCTAAGAGTTTCAACACTGATTGAGGAAAATGCCTTGGTTTAAGAACGTCTATATTCAAGTGCAAGTATTCAATGCATCTCCTTAGAAGGTTTCTCATATATGTATTACATAGTCATGATGTCCACTAATATTTGATCAATCAAAAATTAGTACTTGCAGACTTACAATATTTTGTTCTCACTGGTTCTCAAGCAAATATATATTGGAATAATGATACTTACCCATACCACTTTTGATGGATACTTCAAAATTATGCCATTATAGTTTACTGTTCATGGAATTTATTATTTGTCCCTATATTTTGCAATATTTAGGAACTATTTTTATTGACGCACATTGCTACAGTATTGTATATGATTTAAGATTCAGGTATATACCTCTACAAACTTATGTTTCCATAAGTTCCATTATGCTACCACTAATGTTTTCTTACTTCTTCTATATACAGCATTGGATCTCCTACCTCCTAATTCTACAGTCAGATATCTAGGGTTTGGTTTATTTTTTCCTGTTCCTCTGCTTTGTTATTTATATTCCACATATGAGAGAAGTATCCTCTATTTGCCTTATTATTTGACTTATTTTGCTTACTTTTCATTAAAGAAATTTTAACATTTTTAAAAAGATTTATTTTAATTTTTGCATACAAGAACTGGGGTGTAGACCAGAGATGCAAGGGGTGAATGGATTCACAAGACAGAGAGTAGGGAGCAGAACAGGCAGATCCACTGAAAACACTGCCGAGGGGAGCAGCAGGTGAGACAGGCACAGTTCTGCTGCACCATGTGATTAAGCTCCCTAGCTGGGGAACGAACTCAAGCTGCAGTGGCTGGTGATAGCTTGATAGAGTGGAGACTTTAACCCCTGTGCTACCAGGGAGGTCCAATATTATCATTTTAAATGAATAAATGCATCAGACTAAGTTAATACCGATATTTGAAAACTGTTGCTATGTGGGAATGCTTAAGTTTGTATACAAGAAAGGGAAAAAGTAAAAGCAGGGTAGTGACTCCTGATAGAGCAGGATCTGCGCTTCACTCTTTGTAGTTAGTATATATTTCCTACAGACCCCAACACATTTTTAATGCACTTATTCTTATTTAGCAGTTGCAGAATCTAAAGTTTATGAATTTAAGTACATTTCCCATAGTCAAATTATTAGTAAATGGATCTGACAAACTTGTCATGAAAAGCTGTTTCTCCTACAGAGCCACTGAAACTGGGAGAGGAATGTTCTGAGCCTACTGCCTCTCACCTTCCCAATACTTTCAGTGTATGCCCTATGATGAGTCATGGGCCCCTTTATGAGTTTGCCCTTAAATCTGGGCATAGCCTTAAGCTTCCTCAGTAGACAGTGTTGCAGGGGAGAAATCACAGGAGAAAGCAGTTCTGCATTATTTGTTTCCTCCCCTATGGGATGATAGGTGAGGACATTTGGTGAGATTCTTTTCAGTGGTGTTGGAGTCTACTGAAATTAGCACCTTGATGATTTCTCACCCATAAGTGTCTGTGGCCCTCAAATTCACAGGAAATTTAGATACTCTTACTAGCTATCCTCCCCCATTAAAGTGCTTGTACCACTGAGCTTCCCAGAACTTCTACCACTTGCTAAATGCTTGATCACCATCTGTACTAGAGGAGGTGTCTTTTGCTGGTCCATTGAATAGAGAGCAGCTCTAGCTGGCCAAAGAGTAAATTTTTTTTTGCTATCCAGGGTGCTGAACTGTCAGTTCCATGTTGTCTTTCTGGAGTATTCTTTCACATCCCAAGAAAATCATATAGAAATTTCTCATTCTAAAATCACTCTTTAATTATAGTTTAAAAATTAATTTTAATAGTAAGCAATCTCTGTTTAACCTAACGTGAGATTTCTATCTACTGACTGCACACAGACTGATGCAAATACCTTTAGTTTTAGAAGTCATGTGTACATATGTACTAGTTGAATCAGTGCCAACAGATAAGATGTACGAGCACGTAAACTAAAAACAAAGATGGAGGATAAAGCAATCACAGGACTGAAACTTAGAGAAAAGCAAAGAATGATTTGTCAATGTAAAAGACATTATGGATCAGAGTCTTATCATCATGGAATCTATGGGAATAGATGACTTCAATTAAAATTAGGAGGGTGAGTCTCAAAACATTAACAATAGATTTGTCATAGGATCCAGCAATTCCACTCTTAAGTACCTGAAGAGTAGAAAGACACTAATTTGAAGGGGCATGTGCACTACTATGTTCACTGCAGCACAATTTACAATGGTCACGTAATAGAAAGGACTCAAGTGCCCAAGTACAAAGGAGTAGATAAATGTGTGGTATATCAACACAAAGGCTAGTACTCATCTATAACTGATGATGAAATCTTTTCAAGTGCAAAACTATGGATGAAACTGGGGGGATATTACTCCATAAGTCTCTTCAGAGGAGGGCATGGTAGTGTAATTTTGGGATTACAACTATTAAAATAAGCTTGACTAATAACATTGACTAACTTGCCAATTACTAGTTACTTTGTAGGAAATCTCATTATAACCCAATGCTGCCTAAAAACTCCTTACTGCTCTATGTTATATATCTTATGAATCAAAATAACATTGAATATAATTTTTTTCCATTGAGGGAATATTAATTTTCAACACTGTATAAGGTGATTTAATCAAGTTTGTTTGATAGTGCCTCTCACCATCCCACTTTTACTCCAGATTGATCTATTCCTGATACTTTTTGGCATCAATGACTCCTTACCTCATCTGATATGCAAATATGATCTCCAAGTCATCTAAGTAACCACAACTCTTACTATATAACTGGTGAACAGAAGTCTGTTTAAACAAAATTAAAGAAAACAGCAGCTCAGAAATTAATTCATTAACTTCTCACAATCTTAGTGGATATAAAAACATCCAGCTGGGATCTCTAGTCAGGATCTTATTCCCATTGTTACAAATTTTCACCTAGGATCCTGAGTCCTGCAAGATCTCTTTGCCATATAACTTAGAGTAGCCTGATTTAGCAAGTATGACCCAAATATTACATGAAAATCCTTAAGCTAGAAAGGTAATTTTTAAGTGAAATTTAAATTTTTCCTACTTGTTTGTCTGCCGAACATTAAACAAATACTGGCCACCCTTTGCTGATGCAGAAAAAATTAAATTTCAGTTACGTATTTTCATGTCATCAGCAATACCATTTTCACATCAGGCTTCAGAGGACTTATTTGTTTCTAACCAATAAATTTCTAGAATAGGGTGAGAATAAAGAGGTATTTATAAATGGATTCCTTGTACCTCTCTCCAACAGTTTACAATTTTACTCTAAGATAAACCTAGAATAGGGTGACCATGACTGGGTACAGACACATCTGGTGGTAGATTACCCAATGAGGAAGTCATTCCTTTTTCAGATGTGTTCAGATGTAATTTGTTTCTCTATATTTGTTTCTCTTTAATTTGTTTCTCTATATTCCACATATGAGTAGAATCACTCAGTATTTGTCTTCCACTTTCTTACTTATTTCACTCAGTATAATCTCTTCTGGTTCCATTCATGCTGTTGCAAGGGTCGAAATTTCATGTTTTTATCACTGACTAGTACTCCATTGTGTGTATACATATGCCATGTCTTTTTAACCCACTAATCTGCTGTTGGGCACCGAGGTTTCCCAAATGTGGCTGATTTAACTGGTGCTGCAATGAACATAAAAGAGTATTTGTCCTTCCCTATTCACTTTTCTGCAATTTCTGGATGACTCCTTCAAACCAATTTTTTTCAACATTAGAATTTCCCAAGCCAGATTGCCCTAAGAAGCTCATCTGTGTGTATGTGTGTGTATGCATGCATTGATGAATGTTCATATAGAGAGAAAGAAACAGGTCTGGGTAAACCCAGAATCCTAAAACACAAAAGCTTAGGAACAAATGCTTCAGTAAAATAAATTAAGACCACAGGACTCAACCAACAAAGACCCATTTATTTTAGCTATGATATTCAAGGCACATATTCTTCAGTAAGTCATGGGTGCTGAGAAATGAGCATGGAGACCAGACACACAGTTAGAATGATCTGCTGAAATTAGCTGTGCCAGGCTCTGAGGGCACAGACACAGAGGACGAAAGAGTAAGTCAATGGTCACGTTTGACACAAAAGATACACAAACTTGTTAGGAGCAAAGAATTGTGTTTATTTGTAAATGATCACAATATAGAAATTTGTAATATGGAGTTAGAGGGTTTGCACTTTGTCTATGAATTTAAAGTGTTTCCGAAGCATCATGGTGTAATTCAGGTTTCCTCAGCAACAAGCAGGACTTCCAAGAAGATGAGTTTTCTGCTATTTCTGAACACTATCTTCAGTGAATTCTGTTGTGATCATTAGGCAGTGAAGAAGGAATGGCTTGGAGTGATCATTTTAGAAGAAATATGGACTACGGTGATGTTTTAGCAGCAAGAAGAATAGCATCTCCTGTAGACAACAGGACGGTAACCACAGAAAGAAGATCCATAGCCACAGCCATATCTGGAGCCAAAGCCACAGCCATATCTGGGACCATATCCACAGCCATATCCGGAACCATATCCACAGCCATATCCAGAGCCATAGCCACAGCCATATCTGGGACCATATCCACAGCCATATCCGGAACCATAGCCACAGCCATATCTGGAACCATAGCCACAGCCATATCCAGAACCATAGTAGCCACAGCCGTAGAGGGAGCCATACCCATAGCCATAGCCCAGGCCACAGCCATAGCTCCCACAGGAGTTTCCAAAGTAGTTGCAATACATGGTATTAGGAGGTGAAGTTTTAGTTGACTTGTAGGAGGATATTTCTGAAGTCTGAGTATCAGCTACTCTTGCAGGGCACTTATATACTCCAGGAATGGGTGTGTCCTACCTCACATGGGTTCTAGTCTCATTTTATAACTATTTGCTAAAGTGAGCTCATTCTGTGTACCGCCATCTTGCCAAGATGTCATATTACTTACTGCCATCCTAGGAATTTTCTAATGGTTATTTTAAACGTAAAGATGTTTTGCTAAATACCCAAGCTTATATAGTATAATTTTACTTCCATAATTGTATTTCATGGCTATGACATTTTGGCCTATATATGTGTGTATGTACTGTTTTGCTCTTTCAATGCCTGAGAAAGTAACTATGAAACACAAAATTATAGTCATTGTTATTAATACCCTCCTCCTCCTCATAATCCAATCATCATCATCATCATCATCATCATCATTATTATATCATTTTGGTTTCATTTTTCCATTCCTGAGGTAAATCTTCTAAAGAAATTTTGTTGGATTTGGACAAGGAATTTAGTATTTCATATGCTACAGTTACTCCAAAATAAGCTCCTTCTCTCCAAAGGTAGGCTTGTGTATCTCATTCTTTTCCATCAGTATGACACTCTATTCTGTCTTTTTTTTTAATATACATATGAATTTTATATATATATACTGTATACCTAAACAGAGATATAGTATGGATTTTACATTTTGTATAAATTGCTTTAACTTATATTGCAATTTTATTTTTGTAATAAATTTTATTTTTATATTCCCCATACAATTGCAATCCCCTTATTTTGACCCCAATCCCTCCCCTCCCCACCCCCACCACCAATAGAGTGTCTCTGGTTCATAGTTGTTTGTTGATTTTGATTTTCACTTTCTTATAGTTATTCCTTTTCCTGGTTCCTTATTTAAGTTTTCTAGATTCCTGCTATGAGTGAGACCATCCAGTATTTTTCTTTTCGGGCTTATTTTGCTGAGCATGATCCCTTCCAGCGCCATCCATGTTGCTGCAAATGGCATGTGTTTATCTTTTTTGAATGCTGAGTAATATTCCATGGTGTATATGCACCACATCTTCTTGATCCAGTCATCTATTTTTGGACATTTGGGTTGTTTCCAAAGCTTAGCTATTGTAAATAGAGCTGCTATAAACATAGGGGTGCAGGTGCTCTTTGGAATTGATGTTTCTGTGTCTTTTGGGTAAATACCTAGGAGTGGAATTGCTGGATCATATGGAAGCTCTATGTTTAGTAGGTCCAGAAATCTCCACACAGCTCTCCATAGTGGTTGGACCAGTTTGCACTCCCACCAACAGTGCAGAAGAGTTCCTTTTTCTCCACACCCTCACCAACACCAAATGTGGCTGATTTAACTGGTGCTGCAATGAACATAAAAGAGTATTTGTCCTTCCCTATTCATTTTTCTGCAATTTCTGGATGACTCCTTCAAACCAATTTTTTTCAACATTAGAATTTCCCAAGCTAGATTGCCCTAAGAAGCTCGTCTGTGTGTATGTGTGTGTATGCATGTGTTGATGAGAGTTCATATAGAGAGAAAGAAACAGGTCTGGGTAAACCCAGAATCCCAAAACACAAAAGCTTAGGAACAAATGCTTCAGTAAAATAAATTAAGACCACAGGACTCAACCAACAAAGACCCATTTATTTTAGCTATGATATTCCAGGCACATATTCTTCAGTAAGTCATGGGTGCTGAGAAATGAGCATGGAGACCAGACACACAGTTAGAATGATCTGCTGAAATTAGCTGTGCCAGGCTCTGAGGGCACAGACACAGAGGACGAAAGTGTAAGTCAATGGTCACGTTTGACACAAAAGATACACAAACTTGTTAGGAGCAAAGAATCGTGTTTATTTGTAAATGATCACAATATAGAAATTTGTAATATGGAGTTAGAGGGTTTGCACTTTGTCTATGAATTTAAAGTGTTTCCGAAGCATCATGGTGTAATTCAGATTTCTCAGCAACAAGCAGGACTTCCAAGAAGATGAGTTTTCTGCTATTTCTGAACACTATCTTCAGTGAATTCTGTTGTGATCATTAGGCAGTGAAGAAGGAATGGCTTGGAGTGATCATTTTAGAAGAAATATGGACTACGGTGATGTTTTAGCAGCAAGAAGAATAGCATCTCCTGTAGACAACAGGACGGTAACCACAGAAAGAAGATCCATAGCCACAGCCATATCTGGAGCCATAGCCACAGCCATATCTGGGACCATAACCACAGCCATATCCGGAACCATATCCACAGCCATATCCAGAGCCATAGCCACAGCCATATCTGGAACCATAGCCACAGCCATATCCAGAACCATAGTAGCCACAGCCATAGAGGGAGCCATACCCACAGCCATAGCCCAGGCCACAGCCATAACTCCCACAGGAGTTTCCAAAGTAGTTGCAATACATGGTATTAGGAAATGAAGTTGTAGTTGACTTGGAGGAGGATATTTCTGAAGTCTGAGTATCAGCTACTCTTGCAGGGCACTTATATACTCCAGGAATGGGTGTGTCCTACCTCACATGGGTTCTAGTCTCATTTTATAACTATTTGCTAAAGTGAGCTCATTCTGTGTACCGCCATCTTGCCAAGATGTCATGTTACTTACTGCCATCCTAGGAATTTTCTAATGATTATTTTAAACATAAAGATGTTTTGCTAAATACCCAAGCTTATATAATTTTACTTCCATAATTGTATTTCATGGCTATGACATAACAATCAACAAAATATGTTTGGCCTATATATGTGTGTATGTACTGTTTTGCTCTTTCAATGCCTGAGAAAGTAACTATGAAACACAAAATTATAGTCATTGTTATGATACCCTCCTCCTCCTCATAATCCAATCATCATCATCATCATCATTATTATATCATGTTGGTTTCAATTTTCCATTCCTGAGGTAAATCTTCTAAAGAAATTTTTGTTGGATTTGGACAAGGAATTTAGTATTTCATATGCTACAGTTACTCCCAAAATAAGCTCCTTCTCTCCAAAGGTAAGCTTGTGTATCTCATTCTTTTCCATCAGTATGATACTCTATTCTTTCTTTTTTTTAAATATACATATGAATTTTATATATATATACTGTATACCTAAACAGAGATATAGTATGGATTTTACATTTTGTATAAATTGCTTTAACTTATATTGCAATTTTATTTTTTTAATAAATTTTATTTTTATATTCCCCATACAATTGCAATCCGCCTTATTTTGACCCCAATCCCTCCCCTCCCCGCCCCCCACCACCCATAGAGTGTTTCTGGTTCATAGTTGTTTGTTGATTTTGATTTTTACTTTCTTATAGTTATTCATTTTCTTGGTCCCTTATTTAAGTTTTCTAGATTCCTGCTGGATGAGAATATCCAGTGTTTTTCTTTTCTGGCTTATTTCGCTGAACATGATCCCTTCCAGCGCCATCCATGTTGCTGCAAATGGCATGTTTATATCTTTTTTGAAGGCTGAGTAGTATTCCACGGTGTATATGTACCACATCCTCTTGATCCAGTCATCTATTTTTGGGCATTTGGGTTGCTTCCAAAGCTTAGCTATTGTAAACAGTGCTGCTATAAACATAGGGGTGCAGGTGCTCTTTGGAATTGATGTTTCTGTGTCTTTTGGGTAAATACCTAGGAGTGGAATTGCTGGACCATATGGAAGTTCTATGTGTGGTAGGTCCAGAAATCTCCACACAGCTCTCCATAGTGGTTGGACCAGTCTGCACTCCCACCAACAGTGCAGAAGAGTTCCTTTTTCTCCACACCCACGCCAACACCAAATGTGGCTGATTTAACTGGTGCTGCAATGAACATAAAAGAGTATTTGTCCTTCCCTATTCATTTTTCTGCAATTTCTGGATGACTCCTTCAAACCAATTTTTTTCAACATTAGAATTTCCCAAGCCAGATTGCCCTAAGGAGCTCATCTGTGTGTATGTGTGTGTATGCATGCATTGATGAATGTTCATATAGAGAGAAAGAAACAGGTCTGGGTAAACCCAGAATCCTAAAACACAAAAGCTTAGGAACAAATGATTCAGTAAAATAAATTAAGACCACAGGTCTCAACCAACAAAGACCCATTTATTTTAGCTATGATTTTCAAGGCACATATTCTTCAGTAAGTCATGGGTGCTGAGAAATGAGCATGGAGACCAGACACACAGTTAGAATGATCTGCTGAAATTAGCTGTGCCAGGCTCTGAGGGCACAGACACAGAGGACAAAAGAGTATGGCAATGGTCACGTTTGACACAAAAGATACACAAACTTGTTAGGAGCAAAGAATCATGTTTATTTGTAAATGATCACAATATAGAAATTCGTAATATGGAGTTAGAGGGTTTACACTTTGTCTATGAATTTAAAGTTTTTCTGAGCATCATGGTGTAATTCAGGTTTCCTCAGCAACAAGCAGGACTTCCAAGAAGACGAGATTTCTGCTTTTCTGAACACTATCTTCAGCGAATTCTGTTGTGATCATTAGGCAGTGAAGAAGGAATGGCTTGGAGTGATCATTTTAGAAGAAATATGGACTACGGTGATGTTTTAGCAGCAAGAAGAATAGCATCTCCTGTAGACAATAGGATGGTAACCACAGAAAGAAGATCCAAAGCCACAGCCATATCTGGAGCCATAGCCACAGCCATATCTGGGACCATAACCACAGCCATATCCGGAACCATAGCCACAGCCGTATCCGGAACCATATCCACAGCCATATCTGGGACCATATCCACAGCCATATCCGGAACCATAGCCACAGCCATATCTGGAACCATAGCCACAGCCATATCCAGAACCATAGTAGCCACAGCCATAGAGGGAGCCATACCCACAGCCATAGCCCAGGCCACAGCCGTAGCTCCTACATGAGTTTCCAAAGTAGTTGCAATACATGGTATTAGGGGGTGAAGTTTTAGTTGACTTGTAGGAGGATATTTCTGAAGTCTGAGTATCAGCTACTCTTGCAGGGCACTTAAATACTCCAGGAATGGGTGTGTCCTACCTCACATGGGTTCTAGTCTCATTTTATAACTATTTGCTAAAGTGAGCTCACTCTGTGTACCGCCATCTTGCCCAAGATGTCATGTTACTTACTGCCATCCTAGGAATTTTCTAATTATTATTTTAAACATAAAGATGTTTTGCTAAATACCCAAGCTTATATAGTACAATTTTACTTCCATAATTGTATTTCATGGCTATGACATATCAACAAAATATATTTGGCCTATATATGTGTGTATGTACTATTTTGCTCTTTCAATGTCTGAGAAAGTAACTATGAAACACAAAATTATACTCATTGTTATTATACCCTCTTCCTCCTCATAATCCAATCATCATCATCATCATCATTATATCATGTTGGTTTCATTTTTCCATTCCTGAGGTAAATCTTCTAAAGGAATTTTGTTGGATTTGGACAAGGTATTTAGTATTTCATACGCTACAGTTACTCCCAAAATAAGCTCCTTTTCTCCAAAGGTAAGCTTGTGTATCTCATTCTGTTCCATCAGTATGACACTCTATTCTGTCTTTTTTTTAAAATATACATATTAATTATATATATATACTGTATACCTAAACAGAGATATAGTATGGATTTTACATTTTGTATAAATAGCTTTAACTTATATTGCAATTTTATTTTTTTAATAAATTTCATTTTTATATATCCCATACAATTGCAATCCCCTTATTTTGACCCCAATTCGTCCCCTCCCCGCCCCCCACCACCCATAGAGTGTCTCTGGTTCATAGTTGTTTGTTGATTTTGATTTTCACTTTCTTATAGTTATTCATTTTCCTGGTCCCTTATTTAAGTTTTCTAAATTCCTGCTATGAGTGAGACCATCCAGTATTTTTCTTTTTCTTTCTGGCTTATTTCGCTGAGCATGATCCCTTCCAGCGCCATCCATGTTGCTGCAAATAGCATGTGTTTATCCTTTTTTAATGCTGAGTAATATTCCATGGTGTATATGTACCACATCTTCTTGATCTACTCATCTATTTTTGGGCATTTGGGTTGCTTCCAAAGGTTAGCTATTGTAAATAGTGCTGCTATAAACATAGGGGTGCAGGTGCTCTTTGGAATTGATGTTTCTGTGTCCTTTGGGTAAATACCTAGGAGTGGAATTGCTGGATCCTATGGAAGCTCTATGTTTAGTAGACCCAGAAATCTCCACACAGCTCTCCATAGTGGTTGGACCAGTTTGCACTCCCACCAACAGTGCAGAAGAGTTCCTTTTTCTCCACACCCTCGCCAACACCAAATGTGGCTGATTTAACTGGTGCTGCAATGAACATAAAAGAGTATTTGTCCTTCCCTATTCATTTTTCTGCAATTTCTGGATGACTCCTTCAAACCAATTTTTTTTCAACATTAGAATTTCCCAAGCCAGATTGCCCTAAGGAGCTCATCTGTGTGTATGTGTGTGTATGCATGTGTTGATGAGTGTTCATATAGAGAGAAAGAAACAGGTCTGGGTAAACCCAGAATCCTAAAACACAAAAGCTTAGGAACAAATGCTTCAGTAAAATAAATTAAGACCACAGGACTCAACCAACAAAGACCCATTTATTTTAGCTATGATATTCCAGGCACATATTCTTCAGTAAGTCATGGGTGCTGAGAAATGAGCATGGAGACCAGACACACAGTTAGAATGATCTGCTGAAATTAGCTGTGCCAGGCTCTGAGGGCACAGACACAGAGGACAAAAGAGTATGGCAATGGTCACATTTGACACAAAAAATACACAAACTTGTTAGGAGCAAAGAATCGTGTTTATTTGTAAATGATCACAATACAGAAATTTGTAATATGGAGTTAGAGGGTTTGCACTTTGTCTATGAACTTAAAGTGTTTCCGAAGCATCATGGTGTAATTCAGGTTTCCTCAGCAACAAGCAGGACTTCCAAGAAGATGAGTTTTCTGCTGTTTCTGAACACTATCTTCAGCAAATTCTGTTGTGATCATTAGGCAGTGAAGAAGGAATGGCTTGGAGTGATCATTTTAGAAGAAATACAGACTATGGTGATGTTTCAGCAGCAAGAAGAATAGCATCTCCTGTAGACAATAGGACGGTAACCACAGAAAGAAGATCCATAGCCACAGCCATATCTGGGACCATATCCACAGCCGTATCCGGAACCATAGCCACAGCCATATCCGGAGCCATAGCCACAGCCATATCTGGGACCATATCCACAGCCATATCCGGAACCATAGCCACAGCCATATCTGGAACCATAGCCACAGCCATATCCAGAACCATAGTAGCCACAGCCATAGAGGGAGCCATAGCCATAGCCCAGGCCACAGCCGTAGCTCCCACAGGAGTTTCCAAAGTAGTTGCAATACATGGTATTAGGAGGTGAAGTTTTAGTTGACTTGTAGGAGGATATTTCTGAAGTCTGAGTATCAGCTACTCTCTGCAGGGCACTTAAATACTCCAGGAATGGGTGTGTCCTACCTCACATGGGTTCTATTCTCATTTTATAACTATTTGCTAAAGTGAGCTCACTCTGTGTACTGCCATCTTGCCCAAGATGTCATGTTACCTACTGCCATCCTAGGAATTTTCTAATGATTATTTTAAACATAAAGATGTTTTGCTAAATACCCAAGCTTATATCGTATAATTTTACTTCCATAATTGTATTTCATGGCTATGACATAACAATCAACAAAATATATTTGGCCTATATATGTGTGTATGTACTATTTTGCTCTTTCAATGCCTGAGAAAGTAACTATGAAACACAAAATTATACTCATTGTTATTATACCCTTCTCCTCCTCATAATCCAATCATCATCATCATTATTATATCATGTTGGTTTCATTTTTCCATTCCTGAGGTAAATCTTCTAAAGAAATTTTGTTGCATTTGGACAAGGAATTTAGTATTTCATATGCTACAGTTACTCCCAAAATAAGCTCCTTCTCTCCAAAGGTAAGCTTGTGTATCTCATTCTGTTCCATCAGTATGACACTCTATTCTTTCTTTTTTTTTAAATATACATATGAATTTTATATATATACTGTATACCTAAACAGAGATATAGTATGGATTTTACATTTTGTATAAATTGCTTTAACTTATATTGCAATTTTATTTTTTTAATAAATTTTATTTTTATATTCCCCATACAATTGCAATCCCCTTATTTTGGCCCCAATCCCTCCCCTCCCCGCCCCCACCACCACCACCCATAGAGTGTCTCTGGTTCATAGTTGTTTGTTGATTTTGATATTTTCTTTCTTATAGTTATTCTTTTTCCTGGTCCCTTATTTAAGTTTTCTAGATTCCTGCTATGAGTGAGACCATCCGGTATTTTTTTTTTTCTTTCTGGCTTATTTTGCTGAGCATGATCCCTTCCAGCGCCATCCATGTTGCTGCAAATTGCATGTGTTTATCTTTTTTGAATGCTGAGTAATATTCCATGGTATATATGTACCACATCTTCTTGATCCAGTCATCTATTTTTGGACATTTGGGTTGTTTCCAAAATGACACTCTGTTCTTTCTATAGGGCAAAATTTTTTAGTGGACACTGGATAAGTAATCAATGGCATACTCTTAATAATTTAATCAAAAATGATGAATTTTTCTGAGCATTTCAACTTTGAGTGAGAAAAATGCCTTGGTACAGGAATATATTTGTTCAAGTCCAAGTTTTCAATGCAAGTCCCATTATAAGGTTTCTCATATATGTTTTATGTAGTCATACTCTCCCCCAACATGTGATCAATCCATAATTAGTACTTGCACAGTCTACAATATTTTACTGATTTTATTGTCACCTATCTCCTGTAGCAAACAATATTTGAAAATGATATTTACCCATACTGCTCTTGCTAGATACTTTGTCAGTGTGACATTAACAGTTTACTCTTCCATGGTATTTGTTAGTTATCCCTATATTTATTTTGTAATTTTTAAAAATTATTTTTATTGACATGCACTGCTTTACAGCAGTGTCTATGATTTAGGAATGAGTCACACCTCTACAAGTCTACATCACCCTATCACAATCACCCCCCAAACTCCAGTAATTCTCCACTATACATCATTGGCTCTCTTCCCTCCCAGTTCTACAGTCTTATTTCTATTGTTTGTTTTGTTTGTTCCTTTTCCTCTACTGTGTTTTTTGTATTCCACATAAGAGAAACATCCTGAATTTTTCTTTTTCTTTCTGACTTATTTTGCTTACTTTAAAGTGAGTCTTAACATTTTAATAAGAGAAATGTATCAGTCCAAGTAAATATAGATATTTGAAACTGTTATTACTTGAGAATGCTTTTGTTTGGATCTGAGAATGGGGAAAAGTAAAAGAAGGTAGTGTCTTCCAATATAGCAGGATTTGTACTTCACTCTTTGTAATTTCAACATATTTCCTATCGAGTTCAACACATTTTAATGCACGTATTAATTGATGTTTATTTAGCAGTTGTTGAAACAGAAATTCAAAAATTTGAGAATATTGTGCATAGTCAAATAATTGTAAATGGTTCTCACAAACTTTGCCAAGGAAAGCTGTTTTGACTGAAGACCCTCTAAATATGGAAAAGAGAAAACCATTCTGAATTTGTTGCCTCTCATCTTTGCAATATTTTCAATGTCTTCTCTGTGATGAGTGATGGACTCCTTCATGAATGTCCCCTTAAATCTGGGCATGGCATTAACCTTTCTCAATAGACAGTATTACAGGGGAGAAATTTTAGGAGAAACCAGTTTTATATTATTTGCTTGCAATCTGAGAGGAGGTAGGGGATAGCAGTGCAGATGAGAGTAAAACTCTATTCAGTGGGGTGTCATCAGTGATGTTGGAGTCTCAGGATGTTTTCATTTATTTGGCCCCCTCTGATGAAACTAACACCTTGAAGATTTCTCATCCATGATTGTCTGTGGCCACAAAGCCCACAAAACTCACAGATTCCCTCTCTAGCTATCCTCCCCCACAAAGCTGCCAGTGCCCCTGAGCTTCCCAGACCTTCTATTACTTGCCTAATTCTTGATTACCATCTGCACTCCAGAGGGTGTTTCCTGCTGGTCTACCAATTAGTGACAGCTCTGGCCTGGCCAAAGGACTGAATTTTTCAGCTATCCAGGGTGCTGAACTGTCTCCTCCCCCACCCAAGTTTTAACTTCTTGCCACATCCCTAGAGAACCATATAGAATTTTCTCATCCTATAATTACCCCTTTATTATAGTTTAAAAATTAATTTTAATGTTAATCATTGTCTGTTTAACCTACTGTGAGTTTTCTATCTACTCCTGGACCCAGACTGACACACAAAGCTTTAGTTTTAGGAGTCATTTCGGTATATGTGGTAATTGAATCAATGCTAACAGGTAAGATGGACTAGACGTGAAGTGAAAAGATGGAGGATAAAACAATCACAAGAAGATGAAAATTCACAGAAAATCAAAGAAAAATTTGTCAGTGTAAAAGGCATCACAGATGAGAAGCTTGCTCATTATGGAAACTATGGTAATGGATGAAATCATGTTATAAGTAGGCAGGTGAGCTTCAAAGTGTGAACAATAGATTTGCCATATGATCCAGCAATTCCACTTCTAGGTGACTACCTGAAGAGTACAATGACAATAATTTGAAGGGCATGTTCACTCCTATGTTCACTGCAGCACTATTTACAATAGACACGCTATGGAAAGGACCCAACAACCTAAGTAGAGTTGTGTGGATAAAGGTGTGGTAGATCTCCACAATGGCTACTTCTCAGCTATAAAGGATGGTGAAATCTTGCCACATGCAGCACCTGGATGGATCAGGAGAGGAAGGCATTCTTTAAGGCTCTGTGAAAGAGGGTAGTGTAGTTTAAGTTTGGGAATATACCAACTATTAACATCAGCTTGACTAATAATTTTGACTAATCTGCCAATTACTAATTACTTTTTAGGAGTAAATTACATTGAGTTCATTGCAACTCAATGCTGCCTTATAAAGAATCTCCTCAAGCTCTGTCCATGGTACTGTAAATGGCATGAGTTTTTTGTTTTTGTTTTTGTTTTTTGTTTTTTTTGATTGTTGAATCATATTCCATTGTGTATATAATCCACATACTTTGTTATACAGTTTTTAGGAATCCAAATAACCATGAATATAATATTTTTTCTCCATTGAGAAAACACTGATTTTCAACACTGTATAAGGTTCAGGTATACAGATGCATACCACAACAACTATGTGCGCCACACCACATCTATCACTAAAGGATTGGTTACCACGCACCACTATCCAACCAAACCCCTTACCTATTCCACCCAGTCCCATCACCCTTCTCCTCTGGTAACCACCATTCTGTAGACAGAATCTAAGGTTTACTTTTACCCTTGTTTTGTTAAGTTTTTGTTTTGTTTCTTAAACTTTCAAAAGTGAGTGAAACCATACACATTTTCTTTCTCCTTCATATTTGACATAACATACCCCATCAAGATCTATCCTAATTATAGTAAATGACTGTCAGGATTTCACCTTTGAGTAGTCCATTGTATGTGTGTGTGTGTGTGTGTGCGTGTGTGTGTGTGTAAAATCTGTAGCCATTCATGTGGCAATTGGCAATGAGGTTGTTACCATATCTTATCTATTATGAATAATAATGCAATTAACATAGGGGGGTGTATATATATATATATATATATATATATATATATATATATATTCTTGAAATTTTTCTTTCTTCAGATAAATAACCAGAAGAAAAAATGCTGTATCACATGTAGTTCTATTGTTAACTTTTTGTGGAAACTCCATACTCTCTTCCATATATTGCTGTACCAATTTGCATTCTTTCTTATAACATTTTTACCCCAAGAACTATTCCTCAATAATTTTTCAGTTGTAAGTGGTCATATATTCAAACAAGCACAGCACAAAAGAAATGTATTTTACAATGACAATTTTGATGTTTTTTTCCAAATCACATATATCCTTCAGGTTTTACAATCAGTTTGGTTGCATGAAATTGTGAAAGATGTAACTAGCTTTAGTGTAATAACGAAGTACAAACAGGTTGGAAATCTTACTGAAATTTACAGATCTGATGCACTAATAAAGTCCAGTGTTTTTTTCTTTTTGTTATGCTACATAATGTCACCCTTTCTAACCACTGGATGCTTGTACTTGCTATAACAAGGGGGTTGATTATTTCCTCTGGGAGTCTATCTCATTGTGAAATCACTCTGTCATAAAAGACCCACATGTTTCTGAGTCTCATTATAGCCCATATCGCTGGGGGTTCTAGGAAAATTTTTCTCACGATTTTATTCACAAGCCATACCTATCAAGTATAGCTGATAGCGCCTCTCACCCTTCCACTTTTACTCCAGAGTGATTGGTCCTTGATTCTGATTGGAATGAATGGTCCTCTTACCTCAGTTTTTAAGCTCTCCATGCCATCTAAGTCCATGTACAACAACTTATAGGACAGTAGAAGAAGCTGTTATAAAATGCCAAAATAAAGTATCATCTCAGAATACCACTCATTTATTATTTCACAGTCCTAGTGGATCAAGAGTCTAAACACAACCTAACCAGGATCTGTGCAGGATTTTACTCACAATATTGCAATCAAGGATTCATCCAGAAAAATCTGTAAAATCTCTTTGCCCTATAACTCAACTAGAGTAGCCTGATTTAGCAAGTATGACCCCTGAACATAGTTAAGCTAAAAAGTTAATTTTTTCAGTAAAATTTAAATTTTTCCACCTTGCCAAACCTTAAATATGTTATCACTTACCACTCCTTCCAGATGTGGAAACAAAAACTTTCCAGTTATGTATTATCATGGCAACAATATCACCATTTTCACATCAGGCTTCAGAGGTCATATTTGTTCCTAACCAGTAATTTTCCAGAATAGGATGAGAACAGAAAGGTATTCATATATATAAACAGATTATTGTACCTCTCTCCATGAGTTTATAATTTTCCTTTAAAACAACCCTTGTAGTCTATGACTGGGTATAGACACATCTGGTGGTAAAGCACCCAATGAGGAATCATTCCTTTTCAGATGTGTTCAGATGTTATTCTGTCTGTTCCTTTGTTTTGTTTCTCTATACTCCACACATGAGTAAAACCAATCAGTATTTGTCTTCCCCTTTCTTACTTATTTCACTCAGTGTAATCTCTTCCAGTTCCATCCATACTATTGCAATGGGCGAAATTTCATATTTTTATCACTGACTAGTACTCCATTGTGCATATATTCCACATCTTCTTAATCCACTCATCTGTTGTTGGGCACTGAGGTTGTTTCCCAAACTTGGCTGATTTAACTTGTGTTGCAATGAGCATAAAAGTGTATTTGTCCTTCCCTATTCATTCTTCTGCAACTTTTGGACTGACTTTACCAGTTTTTTCAACATTAGAATCTCCCAAGCCAGATTGCCCTGAGAAGCTTGTTTGTGTGTATATGTGTGTATTCATGTATTGATGAGTGTTTGCATAGAGATAAATAAGTAGACCCAGAATCCTGAAACACAAAAGCTTAAGAATAAATGCTTCAGTAAAACAAATTAAGACCATAAGACTCAACCAGCAAATACCATTTTTCTTAGGGATGATAATCAAGGTATGTTTAAGACTTGGATGCTGAGCAATGAGAGTGGAGACCAGAAAAGTTGGAAGATCAGGGCCTCCCCGGTGGTGCAGCGGTTGAGCGCTGGGTTGCGAAGCTGCCCGCAGCCTCTGCAGCGCTGGTTCAATCCCTGGCTGCTCCCCGGCCACCGGAGGAGGGTCCCACATGGCACGCAGACCTCTCCTGCCGCCCGCTGCTCCCCTCAGCAGTGTACTTCGGTCCTTCTGCCTGCTCTGCTCCCTGCTGTGGCTCTGGTGAATTCTCTCACCCTCCCCCACTTCTGACTGTACCCAGTGCTTGCATAAATAAATAAATAAATAAATCTTTAAAAAAAAAAAAGTTGGAAGATCAGCTGAGATTAGCTCTGCCAGGCTCTGAGAAGGTCACAGACATCAATGACAAAAGTCTAAGTCACCAGCATACAAGACACAACAGATACACAAACTTGTTAGGAGCAAAGAATCATGTTTATTTGTCAATGATCACAATATAGGAATATGCAACAAGGAGTTAGAGGGTTTGCACTTGGTCTGAATTAAAAGATGTCTCCTGTTTTCCAGAAGTGTCATGGTATAACTCAGCTTCCTTCAGCAACAAGGTGAACTTCCAAGATGACAACGAATTTTCTGCAAATTCTGCATATTTTCTCTCCAGTGGTTTCAGTTGTGATCATGAGACAGCGAAGAAGGAATGGCTTGGAGTGATCATTTTAGAAGAAAATCTATACTACAGTGATGTTCTAGCAGCAAGAAGAATAGCATCTTCTGTAGACGACTGGCCTGTAACCACAGAAGGAAGAGCCATATCCGGAACGATAGCCACAGCCATATCTGGAACCGTAGCCACAGCCATAGCCGGAACCATAGCCACAGCCATAACGGATGCCATACCCACAGCCATATCCAGAACCATAGCCACAGCCATAGCCGAACCATAGCCACAGCCATATCTGGAACTGTAGCCACAGCCATATCCAGAACCATAACCACAGCCATATCTGGAACCATAGCCATAGCTACCACATGAGCTTCTGCAGCATTTGGTATACATGATGTCTAAAGTTGGAGTTTCAAGTAGTTCAGTAGTGGAGCAGGTGATGGTTTCTGAAGTCTGTATGCCATCTCTGCTCTGACACCTTTTATATACTCTAGAAATGGGTGGAGCACACAATGCTGACTGTGACCTCATTACCACAGTAATTTTCCTTTGTAAAGACCTCATCATTCTGAGGACAGCAATTTTGTCAGGTAGGTATGTCCAGCAATTTTTCCCCAGCTAATGATGAGAGTTTAAGAAATTATATTAAGCTACGCTTAGAATAAGTATCGTGTACGGACTGTAATCAAACCTAATTTAGAGTTTTCTCCAGAAGACATTCTCTCTCCTGCAGTTTTAGGTACACAAATGTTGGTCCTGGTAGATGTTCCAACATCACAGATGTTAGCATTGACAGGAAAGCACCAGAGGGTAACAGCAGGGTCATAAGGTGAGGCATTCTCAGGTTATACCGATAAGAATGTAAACAGAGACCAGGTAGAATAGTCACTTCCCTGGTTTCCGACCAACGGACTAGTAAGGTGAAAAAGATCTAAATTGGTAGAGAACAGAGATCTGATGCAATGTACCAAAATAAAAGCTACCATGACTTTGTCCCATGCAACGTATTTGCTCTACTTAATAGCTCTTGCAGCATTTCTGGGTGTTTCTTTAAAACGTCTTCCCCACTAACATCACCAAAATTTACTTACTCAAATTCTACTGATTCTTCATAGCACAGCTTATGCTATACCTCATATTAGAAGTTTCCCTGGACATTCTCAACATACATAATTCCTGTTTTTCCACAACTCCCTATTTCTATCTCTATTGTGATACTGAGTATATTGTATTAAAATGCTCTAATTTCCTGATTCTTCAGTCAGTCAGTTGTGAGGTATTTATGGTAAATATGACCTTCTTTCTGTGAATATAAAGAACTAAGCACTAACTGTTAAACAGGAACCTATCAAATGTCTTCTACCTATAAAAATTATTTTAATTATTTTAATTTATGGGATATCATACAATAAAATAGTTATATTAATTAATAATATTTACATTTCTCTTCTTAGCTTTTGAGGTACATGCAAATGTATAACTCATTTGACTTTTACAAAAACAACGCACAATAGGAAATTGTGGCATTCATTTTTATGCACAGATACAGATGAGAAAGCAGAGTCCAAAGGAGTTAGGTCACCTGCTACTACTGCTTAGTGGTCAATTAGCTGTTTAGTAGAGGGGCTGAATGGGATGAACTCATATTATAACTAATAAAACCAGGGCAAGCTCCATGTGAATTTTTTTCCTTCAATTTTTTAATGCGAAATATTTACTTCATGTGAGAAAAATTATTAAAACTTGCTAACTTTTGTCTTAACACTTATCATCAGGATTTGTGATTTTCACAATCCTAGCCAAAGCATAGGATAAACTTCAAGCAGACAAGTCAACCCTCTTTCAAATCTGCTCCATCACCCTTCTAAAGCACTATGGGACAGCAGGATAGCATACATCTGCATTCTCTACCTCTTCTATTGAGACTGTAATCTTTCAACACTGCAAGGTAATTTTAGGAACTATAACATTTGAGTAGAAGTGATAACTCTCCTAGACATTTCAAATTTTAGTTGCTATAAAAACACCTCAGATCAGCAACTTGCATGTCAAAATAAAAACTTCCAATTCTAGGTTTGCCTTTTAATTTTAATTGTCCCACTTTTACAATTCTATATATAAAATATATTCAACATTTTCTCCATTCCTGAAAATTCCATGATCCTTAACTATTCTACAAATGTCCTTTGTTTTCTCTCCAAAACAACTTCACATGGCCATATTCCCTTGCATCATTCCATTGCTCATCTAGATGCTGGCAAAATGGCATAATACGATTTTATAAAAAATTTTGATGACTGATATAATTCAAATACTACTCAATTTTCTAGGAATGAAAATATGTATCTAGAGTTCCAGGATGAGATATACGTTTTAGAATACTCTCTAGGGAGAATGAATCAATATTTCCATTAGACAGTCTCTCCCCTTTCACCACATGCTACATGAAAAATTAGAGTATTTCCAATCTTTCCATTTCCTCACCCATTTGCTCTTAATTGCTAACAACCAATAGCTACTTTTTTTAAAAAGATTTATTTATTTATTTATTCAAGCACTGGGCACAGTATGAAGTGCGGGAGGGTGAGAGAATTCACCAGAGCCAGAGCGGGGAAAAGAACAGGCAGACTGACAAAATACACTGCTGAGGGGAGCAGCAGGCTGCAGGAGAGGTCTGTGCACCATGTGGGACCCTTGCAGGTGGCCGGGGATCGAACCGGCGCTGCACAGGTTGTGGGCAGCTTTGCAGCCCAGCGCTCAACCACTGTGCCACCAGGGGAGGCCCAACCATTGTCTACTCTTAACACATCCCCCCTCAAACTCTTTTTGTTAAGTATCACAGACCTTTTGCCAAATCAATGGAAACTTCTCAATACAATTTGGTAATAAAATAAAAATTAGATCATCAGAAGGTAAACTGCTAAAACCACTAATCTGTTAATGAAAATACAATGATAAATGTTATATCAATTTACTTGGTGTCACAGTACATATTAGAGTTCATAACCATTGAATACGTATATGGTAGATGTACAAAACATCTCACTTGGGAGTGTGCCTATATATTTTAAATGAAAACATTGAGATTATTAGCTAAAATTTCATGAAAGACTTGAAAGGGCTACTGTGATAGCTTCTGATGTCAGAACAGGCTTCTTTCCACATTAGTGGTTTGATGAGAAAGGGGATCTTATGTTATTTAGGAAAAGAGCTATTTACAGTGTTAGGGTATTTTCTAATTGCAGTACTAGGAATACCTGTGAGAACCAATTGTATAACTCTTTGATTAAAATGATTTCTTACTCTCCTAAACTTTGAGTGTTTCATGAAATAAACATATTTCACAAAAGATATGTAATAGTCAAAGTATTGTCAATATTGATAAAAATTATATATTTAAGACATATAAAAATGACAATTTTTTGACAATTGTCATTTTTATATGTTAAACATCATTCAATATCAGCAATACATATAAAGAAATTCAATATATCAAAATCCAAATCCCTGAGTGCTATAGCTTTGCATTTTTTATGTAATTTGATACTCTCAATAATTATAATCTAGAACTATTTTATCATGTTAAATTTGCATAGACTGAGGATTCAAGGAGTTAAATAATGTGCCCATGTCTACAGAGTTAAAAGTTGACAATCCTAGAGACAAGATAGAGTCTACACTAAAGAAAATATTGGAGCCAGTACTATAGCATGAGATGGAGATTATACTACAGCACAAAATGGAGCTTATACTGTAAACGAGATGGAGCCTGAATTACAACAAAAGATGGAGCCTGTTCTAGAACGCAAAATGGAGTCTATAAAAAGACATCAGATGGAGCCTATTCTGGAGCACAAGATGGAATTTATAATATAGAACAAGATGGAGCCAGTATTACAGCATGAGATAGAGCCTATCCTAGAGGAAAAATGGAGTCTACACTACAACACAAGATGAAGCACATCCTAGAGTAGAAGGTGGAGCCTATTCTAGAACACAATATGGTATCTTTGATACTGCACAAAAAGCAACACATACAACAGCACAAGATGAATCCTGCACTATAGCATGAGGTGCGGCCTATCCTAGAGCACAAGATGAAGCATATGCCACAAGACAGAACCTATATTAAGCACAAGATGTAGCCATTACTGCAGCAAGAGATGGAAACTATCCTAAAGCACACAATGCAGCCTAGATAGACTACAGCATAATATGATACATATCCTAGATCACAAAATGGAGGCTATACTGAAACACTAGATAGATCCTATACAGTACAATGTGAAGTCAGTACTACTACATAATATGGAGCCCATAGTACAGCCTAATATGGAGCCAGACCTACAGCACAAGATGGAGGACATACTTAACCTGTACCCTAGAACAAGATGAAGCCTACCGTACTACACAATATGGAGTCTATACTACAGCACACAATGAAGCCTATTGTAGATTGCAAGATGGATCCTATAATACCACACAAGATGGAGGCTATCATAGAGTGTAAGATGGAGCCTATACTATAGCACAAGTTGGATCCTTTATTAAAACACAAGATGGAACTTATGCTGTTGAACAAAATTTCAAGACAAACTGATATTATAGCCTCTCTACATTGATTTCAGTGGATTTCTTGCTTTTCTTTCTTTTTCAGGCTTATACCTATTGCACAACTTTCAAAGAAAGAAATTTCTTCTCAAAAAGAAGGTAGATATGAGCAATGGTTTTCTGCTAATTGTTTTATGAGCTCTTCTGGGTGTTGGGAGGTGGGTCTGATTGTTAATTTCCACTAAGTAAATAATTCTAACCTTACTAGTTTCAAGTGACTCACTAGCTTGTAAAATTCCTGAAAGTCAGCATCATCTTCTGGTACTTTAAAAAATTAACTTTCATGTTTAGGACCTTAATCACATAGAATTTCTTTTGCTATGGTGTAAGGTATTGAAAAAAATATATATATACTGGGCATTGCTCACTCCAGAGCTGACTTGGATAGATGCTAGTGTCTTCTTCCTTGGATTTGGCCATTTTGTGGGGTCTCCAGCTCCAGGGATCTCAAACTCAGACTTTGTGCGGTGACTCATCACGGAGATGAGACAGCTGCTGTTTGAAGTCGAGTCTGAAAGGTTTTTGTTCTGTTGTAGCATCTAAGTATTAGCACTCTGGAAAGTTAGATGAAGAAAAGACACTAAATTCAGAGCTCCACAATTTAGTGTGCACGCTAGTTCAGAAAGGGAGCAGTTCTTTTAATCCTATTCTTCCATCTGCCACATTTAAGGACTTGAATTTTCTCTTTTCCCACTAGAAAAATGTGGCACCACTGATCACACCTAAACATAATGAAATTCTCTTCACCCTTTATACTTGTTGTCCATTCTGATCTTTCTTTGCAACTGATATCTTTTTGTCATTAGCTTGAATGCCAGAGTTTCAAAATAATTTCCTGAATTACCTAATATGTCAACCCCTACTACTTCCTTTTAAACTGTCTTAGT